TTGTGCCTGGTACGAATCTTATCCGCTCCCAACCTCTTTTCCATCTGTTTGTCTGTCTGTCTGTCTAATAAATATGCACTATGCATTCTCATCTAGGACCATAATGTACGAAAAACATAACGTAGACAACAATTAATTGTTTTTATTATAATTATTTTATTTTATTCTAAAGTGATTAGTTGTTTCGAGCATGTCAATTTTCCAAAATGCAAACGATATGTTTTATTAGTAAAACTTCGGTATAATTAGAGATCTAGATCCATATTGGAATTTCTATAAATTTTCCATATACGTGTGTGTGTGTGTGTGAGGACATATACATCCACCATATCTATCATATATATACTGGATGTTGGAGTTGATAAGAAATGTGGAGAAAAGCAAATTAAGAAGATAATGTTGGGGACCTCTGAATTCAAGGCATATGCCTCCTTTCCACGTACGGCCTTCTTTGTATGAGGTTATGTGCTTATGTCAACGTTGGAAAAAAAAAAATTATCTTTTGCAAGACAAGTTTGTTTGATCAGATTGGCGTTGGTCCATACTCCATATCCTAGTTTGTAGCTACCTGGGATGCATAATGAGATGAATGACCCATAATCAATATTAGCGGTCTTATGTTGTTGGACCTTAAGTCGTGGGTTTGAAAGTTCGTATGTACGACCCTAGTCAAAATAAGACTCACCCTTTTCTCAAAATGGCGTAGATAGGCAAGTTTTCTCTTTATTTCTCACTTTCTCTGCAACCAAACAGAATGTAAAAAAGTACCCTCTTCCATTCTTGAATGGTATTAGCTAGCAGCATGTGTTAATGAGTTGGGAGACCCATGAAAATTTTCTCTTCATTTCTCACTGAATTTCTTGGCTACCAAACAGACAGAATGTGGCAAGGACAACTCATGATCATATTAAAAAAAGAAAAAAGAAAAGTAATAGCATGTGTTATCAATTTTATAAAAGATTTTGTCCACATTCTCTTTCTTTTTGGCCCTGCCTTCTCTTTCGTGAATTGGATGCGAATCTGGTTACGGAGAGGAAAGGAAGATTGGATAAATGCAACTTTTTTCTCCAACTCAGAAGATGCCTCCTTTGAAAGATATATATAGCAGAAAAAGTTCCTAGATCAAAATATGGACCACATCTCATATCCAATTTTTTTTTTTTAGGTTTAACGGTTAGTGGTGTTCGGCGTTCGGGTTAATTTACGTATATCTCAATTAATCTCCTCTCCGATCCAGTCAAAGATAGGTCTTCTACGCCTGGACTAGGGTATTTATAAGAAACAAATCTCTTATGCTCTAATTCCAAGATGTTACCAATATCAAACTCAAGATGTTTGAATTTACAACTCATCTCTATTACCACTTAAACTATTCTTGAGATTATATGATATCCGTTTACTTCACATAATAGCCTTTCGCTCTGATCAAAAACAAGTTATCCACGCCGGAACTAATAAATTCATGAGGAATAAATCCCTCATTATCTGATTTCAAGAGAGTTGTCAAGTTTCGAACTCAGGATGACTGAGTTTATAACTCATCACTGTTTTTACTAGACTATAGTTCTGCCCGCTTACTTGATTCGTATGGTTTAATAAGAGACAATACGTAAAGTCACATATTATGAGATTAATTCTCTCTAGTCACATAAAATTGAAGTTTTACTGATACAAGTAGTTTACAAGTAATTGCATATAGATAATATTTGTGTTGCTAACATGAATACAGAGGATGCATCGTTAAAACCATTCTCTCCATTGCCAATAAATAAAAAAGAAATCTTAACCCACTTTGGTGGGTCAACCCAACAGGAAACTGGGCAAATGGGTCTGGATATGGACATGGACAACACCCTTGAACTATTAGTCAAACAAAGAGAAACTGCTATCATCCCAAATGATACTGCTAGCATTACTCTACGAGAGAAATTATACACAATTCAAATGAAACCCAAAAATTATAATTCAAATACATACCATTCTTTATATAAGTATCGGATAAGTTTCGTTGAAAAAATTGATAAGACCCATTTATTCTATGCATTTGTGTCGTAATTATTTAAATTTTATTTGAGTTGCGTAATGAGACGTACGACTAACACGTATCTCCATCTCTGTATGCGGAGTTTCGTTACCGTCCACCTTTTATTGCATAGTGCGCCACCTTGGTCTCAATCACCTAATAATCCATCAAGCCTAGTTTTGGAACCCAACAAAAAATCAATAAAATCTTACAGAACACATATTCTCTCTCTCTACACAGTCTATATAAGAGTCACCATGGGCTACTCCATTCTTCACAGCAAAATCAAAGCCTTCTAGCAGTACTCCTCACAGCTCACATTGCTCTACTCCCACTTCTACACCTCTTTTCCATCTTTCTCTCGCTCTGTCTACATTTTCTCGCACTAAATAGAGGGTCCAGGAAACTAGAACCTGAAGTTTTTTTATAGCAGAGATTTTACCCTTTGATTCTGCAATGGACAAGGTTTCGAGAATGGTGTCCGAAAGGCCAGTGGTGATCTTCAGCAAGAGCTCTTGTTGCATGTGCCACACCATCAAGTCCCTCTTATCTGAATTTGGTGCTAACCCTACTGTATACGAGCTCGATGAAATGCAGAGAAGCGGTGGCCGCGACATCGAGCAGGCTCTTTCGAGGCTCGGTTGCAACCCTACTGTCCCGGCGGTGTTCATCGGTGGCAAACTGGTGGGTGGAGCTAATGAGGTCATGAGTCTTCACCTCAAAAGGTCTCTGAAGCCAATGCTTAAACAGGCTGGAGGTTTGTGGGTTTGAAGCTAATATATAGCTTCAAACCCGACGCTAAAAATAATGCGAGTTAGATGCACACGGTATTACCCGATATCGAATTAGCAAGCATATAGATATTTACAGACACTGCTATAGTTTTGATATAACAGTGATAGAAATAATGGGTTGAGCACTTTATAATGTAAGCTTCCCACTATAATAAAGTTCAGTTTATGACCAGAAATGACGAACTTTGCCTACCTATATTCATAGCATGGCGAACAAAAAGATTAAACATTAACGAATAATAATATTGAAAACTTAACAGAAAAAGAAAGACGAGAAAAAAAATACAATTTTACAATGAAATTTCAAGTCAAAGATCGAAGTTAAATTTGTAATCACTGTCATCCCTATCAATGGCATCTATTAGAAGAACTATCCGACGCCTTCGTACAAAATCTAAGAGAAAAGGAGGCGTCAGCCCCCGTATACAAAGATTTCTACGAGCATGTCACCGTCGAGAGATTCTTGCACTTCGATCAACCTCAAAAACTAACCAAATCTTCTTATCGTGATCATAAATCAAGAAATGTTACATCAACTTAAAATATTTGCAAACTTCATCGATCATTATCATTGATTTAATCGTGGGTCACAATATTTATTAAGACCAACTATCTATTCAATGATTGTGATTAATTAAATTAACAAATAATATAAATATTTTAAGTCTATGTAACATTTCTCATTAGAAACCTATGCAAAACTATGGTTTAGACAATTTTTAGAGAGAGAATATTAAGACAGTCGAAAGCTGTTTGGAAGGAATTTACTACAGTTGCACATCACTAATGATATAGCTCAGTTCAGTTGTGTCAAATTAGGTCAAATGATTGAACAATGGGCTATACATATGCAAATGTCTTAAGTCCGAATCCTCTTAACCATATAAAACTCAACTTTAACCGATATACACACACGTGTCTTAAGTCCGAGTTCCCTTCCTTCACCATATAAAATTCAAGTTTAACCAATGTGTTTGGTTTGAGAATAATTGTGTGTCGTCAAGATTGGCAGTGCAAAAAAATGCATGATTGCCCTTTTACAATCAATGGTCAAGACTTATATTTGGAGAGAATTAGCCAAATGACAGTTCTATATGTACCATATCAAAATCTCCAATTCTCATTTGACTCTCCACTATATCACATAGATTCTGAGTGCATAATATTCTCATACTTGCATTTTCTCACCTTTTTAGCAATTGAGATGACACACTTCTTAACATTGTCAAATCATGAATATTAGAGAGAAATTTGCTTTATATTGTATAGAATATCCACTGCTCAATGTCACAATGCACCACTTGTAATTATACACTCAAACCATAGCATACGGAGTGAAACAATGAGATAAAGAACTCAAAAAAAAATCACCATTTACAATCTGCTAAGCTAAAACAATCACGGAATATTAATTTCACCTTTTGCCAGTTGAAGCTGGGTCATAAGCCAGATTTCTCACAGCAAAGAAGTTCATTGCTGCTTTTGATGCATTCATTGGCACGGTTCTGAACAACTTGAAATCCCTTCCGTCTGTCGGCTTCCTCCAGAAATTTCCGCATCTGCATGGATGGTGTTGAAATCCCCACCAAAGTCTAAGCAGGCCGTTTTCCAAAACCAATTCTATGCGAAAGCCTTTTTTTAGCAGTCCATCATAAAAAATCAGCCGCCTCCGGTTCCGGGTCCCCATCAGCATCCTCAGCCTCATTTTCTTCATCTTCGTCAGGGGCATCTGGATCCACTCCCTAGAGAAACAAACCAATTCAGTACAGGGAAATGCAGAGCAAGGGTTTTAACTCTGGAATTATGCATTTCAAACCTTGTTTTTTATAATCAAGATTCTGTATTTTCGACTAGATTGCAACTGTGTAGCGCAACAACCATTAATAGTTCATTAAGTGAAGAGAGATGGAGAGGATATTGACTCTGAAGCATGCAAAACAGAAGACAAACCTTCATTTGTTTCTCCAAGCGTTCCAATCCTTTTTTTGCGGCTTCGTTTTGGGGATTTAACCTGACAGGCACAATAGAGTTGTGAGTTAGCAACATTTCCATTTTTCTTTTTCTTTTTCACTTAATAGCGTTGCAGTATACTACACAAACATGTTGGCTGAACTAAATTCCACAATCATAGTTGAGAGAATCTAAATCCACACGCATAGGCACGTATGAGAGAGGAGAAATCTTTACCTCAATGCTGCCTCATAATGCGACAAGGCCTCTTGCAGCATATTTGTAGCAGCAAATACTTGAGCCAGCTTAACATGAAGAGAATCGTCAGCCCAATCTTTGAGATATCGCTCAAGAAGGGATACAGCATCTCCATTTCGGCCCTCGACGAAATGGAGCTCCGCCAACGCTAGTGCAGCTCCAAGGTAACCAGGTTCAAGCCTGAGGGCTGACTCATAGAATTTTTTTGCCTGTTAGACAAATAGGTCAAATTCAAAGCATTTACAACAAAGAGTTTGAATACAAAATCATATAACAGAACTAACAGTCCAAACAGTTCCCTATACATTTGAGGACATCTGGGAGAAGCTTCAATTTGAACTTTTAAACGTTTTAGTAGGAATATGCCTTGCTATAGTTGCTATTGGCCAAACTAGCTAAACAATGACATTTGACTATAGTAATTAAATGACTAACAAGTATCCATATGACATTAAGAAACCAAATAACTGTTACTTTCTTTCATACATCATATTTTTTAGTCACAAAAATTAGTTGGTCACATGTTTCTTCACCTAATTTTTTTATGCTACTCCACTTGATGACTAACAATAGATGGAAGAGCTAAAAATAAGACTCTATGGCCTGCCGCACGCAAATCTGGACTATTGCAGAAAATATCATTTACAGGCTTACCTTTTCTCTACCACCAGAGTTGCTAGCGTGTACATCCCCCACTAATTTCAGAGCCTTTGCAGATTGGGGCATGGTCTTCATCGCCTCTCTTGCAGCATGCAAAGCTTCTTTGATCTTTGAAAGTGCCAAATAAGAACGAACCAAACCTGAAATTAAATTGGGGTCTCCATCATACACGGCTTATTTGTTGCTTAAAATTAGTTTGATGCAAGAAGGACCAGAAGGAAAGAAGGAGCACCAGATTAGCAGCAGTTACCAAAAAAATGCATATATGCTGCTATATTGATGCGTAATTTATCTTGTGGTTTTCATAACAACACACCTTGATAGGAACGAAGATCAGGTCTCAATTCTTGAGCTCCCCTGAAGGCAATTACAGCGGGTTCGGGCCGATTCATTGATAAGAATAAGTTACCCTGAAAGTTTATGAAAATATGTTAGCTTACAACTTCCAACGACAATGGAATTGGAGACCACACTTATAGGTGGATCATCTAAATATGTGATCTAAGAAACTTTCCATGCTCATGCCTTGACTAAACTATCCCATTAATATTGCAAATGAAATTAAGAGTACCTTCATTATATATCCCGGTATATGCCTCTCATCAATGCCGATGCTCTGGTTGCACAGTAATAATTTAATTGTGAATGCACGATATAACAAAAAGCAAGAATCTGGTCTATTTTAAATTAAATTTTCTAACCTTCTCAGCATAAGATAAAGCTCCTCGCTCATCTTTCCTCTCCCACAAAACAGACAAAGCCACAAAAACTTCTGGCCTTGTGGGATCAATATTCCACAAATCATGCACTAACTTGTTTAACTTCGAATGATCAGATTTTAGCTTTAAGAGAATTGCATACTCATCCATATAAGTGATCACGTATGGATCAATTGATCGAACCTGTACAACATGCATATAGAGTTAAGATGGTCCAAATAGCTCATCACATCAAAATAAAAACAGGTACTTATACTTACCTTCTCAAAATTGGTAATGGCTTCATCATTTTTACCAATAATGGCTTCAACCTATGCAAAAGAATTTATGCATAAGATAAACAGACAAAGGTAAGACAAGTCTAATCTTTTCTACGTCAATTCTTATTTATCAAGAAACTTCAGTATTAAATAAGCTTCCACAATTAGCAACTATAATCGTTACTGTTAAGTTTGAAAGATTAACACAATATTAGAGACAATATTTTGGGAGAAACAGAGAGAGGTTAAAAAACTTAACCTAACTCTCATACATCACTTATATTTATAGTTAACCTCCAATAATAAGAATTACATAGACACCCTCTTACTATTAACAATTTATACATACTACCCTACTATTCTTAACACTCCCCCTCAAGTTGGACTATATATATCATATAATCCAAGCTTTGAACAAATAGCTGCAAGACGTGTACGACTCAATGCTTTGGTAAACATATCTGCAAGTTGATCTTCAGATTTCACAAATGGAGTTGTAATCTCCCTAACTACTATCTTGTCCCGAATAAAATGACAATCAACCTCAATATGCTTGGTTCTCTCGTGAAACACAGGATTGGCAGCGATATGGATNAATGCTTTGGTAAACATATTTGCAAGCTGATCTTCAGATTTCACAAATGGAGTTGTAATCTCCCCAGCTACTATCTAATCCCGAACAAAGTGACAATAAACCTCAAAATGCTTGGTTCTCTCGTGAAACACAGGATTGGCAGCGAAATGGATAGTTGTCTGGTTGTTACAGAACAACTGTAAAGGTAGTTAAACTGGAAACCCAATTTCCTGGAGGAAGTGTAATAGCCAAGTCAACTCACTCGTCGTATGCACCATTGCCCTATACTCAGCCTCAGCACTAGATCTTGCTACCACGGATTGTTTCTTACTTTTCCATGAGACAACATTACCTCCTAAGAAAGTACAATNGTCGTATGTGTCATTGTCCTATACTCAGCTTTAGCACTGGATCTTGCTACCACGGGTTGTTTCTTACTTTTTCATGAGACAACATTACCTTCTAAGAGAGTACAATAACCAGTGGTTGATCTCCATCAGAAGGAGAGCCAGCCAAATCAGCATCTGAGAAACCTTCCACTCTAAGATGTCTATTAGCTCGATATAACAGTCCAAGTCCTGGAGCACGTTTGAGATATCGCAGAATACGAGTAACTGCCTCCCAATGTGATACTCTAAGACATCCCATGAACTGACTTACTATACTGATTGCATATGAAATATTCGGTCGAGTAATAGTAAGATAATTGAGCTTCCCAACCAATCTGCGATACCGACCTGGATTCTCAAATAGTGCACCATCATCCATCAAAAGTTTCTAATTCGGATCCATAGGAACATCAATAGGTCTGCCACCGAACAAACCTGCTTCTCAAGCATGTCAAGTACATATTTCCTCTGGGATAAACAAATACCCAGTTTAGATCAAGCCACCTCAATACCCAAGAGATACTTAAATTTTCTCAAATCTTTAGTATGAAATCGATCCTGTAAGAATGTTTTTAACTTGACAATCCCCTCAGAATCATTTCCAATAATCACAATATCATCTACATAGACCACCAATAAGACATATCCAGCATCTGTCTGTCTATGCAACACAGAATGGTCTGTCTGACATCGAAGAAGACCAAACTCTAAAACTGCATTTGAAAACTTACCAAACCATGCCCTCGGTGACTACTTCAAACCATACAAAAAAATTTTTAACCGACATACACTCTTACCATACTCCCCCTGAGCAGTAAACCCAGGTGGCTGCTCCATATATACCTCTTCAACCAAGTCACCGTGTAAGAAGGCATTCTTGACGTCTAACTGAAACAAGGNTCAAACCATACAAAAGTTTCTTTAACCGACATACACTCTTACCATACTCCCCCTGAGCAGTAAACCCAGGTGACTGCTCCATATATACCTCTTCAACCAAGTCACCGTGTAAGAAGGCATTCTTGACGTCTAACTGAAACAAGGGTCAATCAAGATTAGCAGCCAAAGAAATCAAGATACGAACAGAGAAAATTTTGGCAACAGGGAAAAAAGTTTCCTCATAATCAACACCATAAGTCTGAGTAAAGCCCTTTGCAACAAGCCGGGCTTTGAGACGCTCCACAGAACCATCTGGATGAAATTTAACAGTATACACCCAAGACAGCCAACAGTTCGTTTACCAGGAGGTAAAGGAACGAGATCTCAAGTCCCATTATGATGTAAGGCATCCATCTCCTCCTCCATAGCTTTCCTCCAATCCGGATCAGATAATGCATCCTGTATATGCTTAGGAATAGATATAGCAGATAATTGAAAAGTAAAACAAGAGAAGACAGGAGACAAGGCATCATATGAAACAAAATGAGAAATTGGATGATTAGTAACACACGAATGAGTACTTTGCGAAGAGCAATAGGTAAAGAGTCTAAATTACCTGATGTACCAAGATCAGAAGGCGGCAAGGAAGAAGGTACGGATACTTCAGTCGATGGGCGAGGACGACGAGAGTAGACACGGAGAAGTAAAGTAGATGGTAACACAGTGAGCAGCGGGATATCTGAAGATGAGGAAAGAGATGGTGGTACAAGAGATGACCCAAAGTCTAGATCCAAAGGCTGAGAAGGTGCTGAAAAATATGGAATAGATTCTTCAAACGTGACATCGGCACTAGTAAAGTATCGGTGCAGAGAAGGACTGTAGCAACAATACTCCTGCTGCGTGCAGGAGTAACCAAGAAATACACATTTGATAGCTCGAGGATCAAGTTTGTCAAATCTAGGACCCAAATTATGAACATAAAAAATACATCCAAAAACCTTAGGAGTCGGAAAAAATAAGGACTTACTAGAAAAAATGACAAAATATGGACTTTACCCATTTAATACAGAGGATGGCATACAATTAATAAGGTGACAAGCAGTAAGAACAGCATCACTCCAAAAATATCGGGGAATATTCATCTGAATTAATAGGGCACGAGTGACTTCCAACAAATGACGGTTCTTGCGTTCAGCAACACCGTTCTGTGGAGATGTATAAGCACAGGAAGTCTGATGAATAATGTCAGCTTTATTAAGATAAGCTGAAAAAGGATCAGATTCATATTCCCGAGCATTATCAGAACGTAAAATACGGATACGACAACCATACTGAGTTTTTATTTCCTTACGAAAGGTCTCAAATATAGAGAATAATTCAGACCGAACTTTTATCAGAAACAACCAAGTCACACGAGAATAGTCATCCACAAATGACACAAAATAAGGATATTTATTAGATGAAATATTCTTTATTGGACCCTAGACATCAGAACGTACCAACTCAAATGGACTAGACACACGATTATTGACTCGAGACTGAAATGACACACGGTGATGCTTACTAAGTTGACACGCTTCACAAGACAAAGACAACATAGAATTAAGACTGGAAACTTGGCGTTTCAGATTCTGGAGAGAGGGATGTCCAAGACGACAATGTCACTGAAAAGGAGACAACAAGGTCTATAGAGCTCAAGTAGGTGAATCAAAATAAAAGTAATATAGGCCACCAGCTTCATGCCCCATACCAATCTTCCTCTTTGTCTTAAGATCTTGAAAGACACAATAAGAAGGATAAAAGATTACAAAACAATTGAGAGAACGGGTAATCTTGCGAATGAAAAGTAAACTAAAAGGAAACTGAGGAACAAATAATACGGAAGATAGGGATTTATCAGGACTCAAGTTAGTAGTCCCCAAACCTGAAACTTTAGAACAAGTGTCATTAACAAGAGTAACACTACGTATGGAAGGAGCAGACTGATAAGTAGAAAAAATATCAGACGCACCAATCATGTAATCAGAAACGCCAAAGTCTATGATCCAGGGATTGCGATTGGAGTACAATAAATAAGTGGAAGCAATACCTAACTGGACAAAAGTAGTAGTGGAGGAAGATGGAACAACCTGTTGCTGAGATAGGAACTGGGCATACTCCTCTCGAGTAATAGTAACCAATCCAGTGTCTTGCTTGGGTTCTATAACAGTGCAGCAAATAGCAAACAAGAAGTGCTGTAATGCCGAACCAGAAGAAAAAAAAGATGTTAGACCGCTGAACCGAGCCTATTAAGGCTGCTAGAATACTGAACCAGTCTGGAAAACCGGCCTGTTAAGGTTGCGGGAACCCTGAACCGAATTGGAAAACTGGCTTGGACCACTGAACTGGCTTTGCTAAGGCCACTGGAAGCCTAAACCGGACTAGTTTACTCCTCTTGATCACTGAACCGGCCTTGTTTATGCCATTGGAAGCCTGAACCGGACTGGTTTAGCCCTCTGGACCACTGAACCAGAGTAAAACCGGTCTGAACCAGACTGATTGGAGCTAAACCGAACTGGTTGGGGCTAAACCAGATTGGACCAAAGTGGGCTGGACCCGATCGAATTGGGCTGGGCTAAACCAATTTAAATCTGTTGGAGCTAAACCGGGTTTAGACCTTTTTCTGGGTCTGGACCCTTTCTTCTTCGTCAAATAGGGTTACTGTAACCCTAGTCTTCGACTGTGCGACCACAATCAACCATGATTACTACACCCACTACACCACCACAGACTGCCAACATAGACCACTACAAGCGTCGGCCACACACCACCACAAAGCCACCACGAGGCTGACTCCACCAAGGTCGACTGTCAGACTCCACCACCACGAAGACAAACGCCACCAATGACGCCACCAGTCGACTGTACCAATCGATTGCACCAAACCCAGACACCACACCAACGACAACAACACCACACCAGGGTTAATGTTTGTATTTAGAATAACCTTGCTCTGATACCGTGTTAAGTTTGAAAGATTAACATAATATTAGAGACAATATTTTGGAAGAAACAGAGAGAGGTTAAAAAAATTAACCTATCTCTCATACATCACTTATATTTATTGTTAACCTCCAATAATAAGAATTACATATACACTCTCTTACTATTAACAATTTATACATACTACCCTACTATTCTTAACAGTTACCAAACAAAAGAATTAGAATCCAAAAGCGGATTTGTGGACAGCTGGTATCCAAAGAAGCTCTTTTCAACAACTTATTCATAGTAGACAAACCTTGGTCCTAGGCTCTCCATCAGACTTAAAATACATAATTTAATAGATTATGCGCATCTGCCTGTCATGTAAACTAGAATATTCCTATAGTCTTTTTTAGAGACCCACTCCAGTCGATAACAAATATATACTCTTACAAGGGATAAGAAGTCTTATAGAGATGAGAAATTATGTATTTTAGGGATTATTGCATAATGGAGCGATAAAATGATTAGATTACAATCACGAGGTCAGGGGTTCATATATGACAAGTAACTTTAAGCAAATCATGCTAGAAGTTAACTTTATACCAAGTCCATCTCCCGAACACTCTTGTTTGGTAGTGACCAAAACAGATAGTAGTAACCCTTTTTTTACAACCAAAATGGGTAATGATATTTTGCTTTCATATGGATAAGGAACTTCTTATTCAATAAGTCAAAAATGAGCTTGTAATCACTATCAACTATTTCTAACCTTCGCCATTTCAAGTAAAATGTGTATGTTGTTAGGAAAACGTTGCAGAAGCTCTGTGAAGAGTTCAAGACCACCTGTCAACCAAAAATAAAAGACTGTAAAGGACCTAAAAACATCAATTATCACATATAAAAAAAAGAACAGTACACAGTCCTGATACCGAATGAGTATATTAACCTTAGCTCCAATATCCTCAGACTCAACCATGTTTTTCCACTTGACAACTAAAGCTTTTACCATTGCATCAACCAATGGACCCTATCAACCATCATTTCCTTGCACGATGCAACAGGTAATGCAAGCAAAAGCTCAAATTTAATAATTTTTCATGGAGACTACTTTCGTGAATGAGAAAAGTTTCATTTATTTAAACTATTATTGAATCAAATTGCTCTTGGTGCAGTGCTAAGGTCTTTCCATTGTGACTTGGGAGTCAAGGGTTCGAGTAGCAAAAGCAGCTTCTCCGCAAATGAGGGTAAAGTACATCTGACTAGACTATATGGTAGCAGTAGCCTCATGCACTGAGTCACCCTTTTAACCAGTCTGATAACTGCTACCAAGAAATTATAATTTTTTTTGGGTGCTGGAAAAAATCTGCATGAAACAGCCTAGTAGGATAATTATGCAAAGACGAATATTGGGTGTGTTAACATGTAATGCACGTGGAACACCAAATATAAACTATGCCAACAAAACCATACAGTAACTCACATATTTCACCAAATTAAAAAAAAATTAGAGAAGTTAAATTGAAAGGAACAAGATTATTCCCTACATTTAAGAAAAACTAGCCAACCTTTGTAGTCATTTGAAGCAATGCAACATTGGGCCTCCACATAACGCTGCACACATAGAACAAATGACCAACAATAAACAACAGTTCAAATAACCAAGAATCTCAGTTGTCAAAGTTTCTTAGCTTAAACTTCCATATAGTTGAAGTGTGTCTCTACAAGTCTAGAGTTGAGCCATTGATTAGGTTGGGAAACTGGGTTCCCAGGTAGGCCTAAAGTATGCTCAGCACGAGTATATGGGTCTGAGCCTATCTTAATTTGCTACTGAGAATTGGATGACTCAAGGCAACTTAATCATTAATGACTTGTGCTAAATTCTGAATTTACATAAAATCAAAACCTAGTCTTATTATTAGTATGTAAGTCTTAAAGCCTGAAAGACACAAAAATAACAATATAAACAATATCCTTTTAAGCTTTGGTTCATGGTGAACAACTTCTATGAGGATATTTCAAATTTTGCTCTTTTGCATGAATAATTTCTCTTAGGTTGGGTAAATATATTTTGTCTTGCCAAAAAGAGGGTGAGTAAATGCAAAATGGATTGCACATAAATGACCAAAACATGGTCATATGGTCAATTATAGATGATCTTCTAGCTGCCAATAAATCCCGTATTTACTATATTGCTTCTCATTCATTATCCTTGCCGAGATACTGTAGAATGTTTAACGGCTTTACTGACACTTTGGTGTAGCCAAAATCAAATAATTAAGAGAAGACTTAATTCAGTGACTTCAGTCTAGTAACATTTGCTTCCCTCGCTTTTTTAGGGTTCTTGATGCTACAAGATCTTTCACCACAATTAGTTTTCATAAACGAATTTTTATTTTCATAATCTTGACTGAGGGAATAATTTAGTGGAATTTTTCCACTTTAACAAGAACAAGGTTGTGAGTTCGAATTTGAGGATAATCAATTCGCACATGCCACGTCAAATGCTGGGTCTGACATTAATTTTGACTAAGCCACAGCATATTGTTCTTTTTACTTTTTCTTCTTCTTTTTCCTTGTCTTGTGGGAGGTGGCTGTAACAAACATTGGGAAGGGAACAAGAAAAAGTTTGTACACTTGCATGTCACAAGAAACATGATGTACATAAGGATCAGAAAGCAGATAAACACATCCTCTATATTATGAAAGCGATTCATCTGGCCCATTATGTACTTACTTGCAACCAACGACTTGAGTCAAAATGATCAAAGGGAGGCCTCCCACCTCTACTTGGCGTCTGGGATTATCAAGAAAGAACATCAAAGAGCACAAAAAAATTACAACTTCATGTTAGAATATATCCTGCAGATCCATAATCAACAGTTAAAAGGTTCGAGCTACTAAATGCTGGAATCCTTATTCATCAGCCATCGGGGAATTTTACACAAAGGATTTCATGAACAGAAAGCATATTGCACACCAGAAGCATCCCATAGTTTTATACAATCAACAGAACTTAGGCTACCATTTTTAAGAAAATAGACAAGGAGTTGTCCTCCACACAATGAACCACAAGGGGACACATGGTAGAAGGATGTAGTTAGAAACCAAGGATCGACAACAGGCCAGTCCAGGTATGGCTTTAAACTCATTGAGGATAAATTTGTTATTCCGAAATGACTTGATTGAAGCCATTTTCAACTGTAGTCAAGATAAAACATATTAAGCCTAACCCATTTATTCACAGGTCAACCCACTAATAAAGTTGGATTTCCTTCTTTACATACAAGATGACAGAAGAATACGAAGATGTCCCAAAATAATTCTTATTTGAAAAAGTCAACACAAAAGACTTCATCATTTCCAAAATTATCCATTTTGGATTGAGAAATCATCACAATGTCAATATTCATATTTTTCAAGGGGTAGTTATTGAAAGTTGGAGCTTTTTACTTCCTGTGAATGCATAAATTGCATGTCTCCTTCTATAGTCGAAATCCCGCACAAGTTTTAATAAATTTGGGAGTGTGTCATATATTGGCATTAAAACATCTTAAGTAATTTGCTTATGAAAATGACTGAGAATTAAAAATGTATTATTACTAGGACTGAATTGAGGCTCGTGTCCTAACATGCCCGTCTAACGTTGGACTCACCCAGCCATAGTTGGGTTGGGTTCAGGTTGCAACTAGAAATGATAACACAAGTTACGTATAGCCAAAATAAGCAAAAGATTTCACATTCATAGCAAAACGAACATACTTGCCACAAGAAATAGTAATAAAATGGTAATATAATTACAGACACTGCAAGCTAGTAGATCAGTTACATTTAAAAGGGTTCCACTAACAAACCTGAGGGAACAATGAAATAATATCCTTGGCAAGAACACCCAGTTCAGCCAAGCCTGTAATAGCCTCAATGATGTAAGGACAATGCCTGTGAACAGAAACAAAAAAACGAAAATGATATTACTTGTGTTGGAACAACTTTAAACGCATAGGTGAATTACACATGTTAGTTGTGAGAGGGGGAGCAGGTGCCAAAAGGGCAATGCAGAACCACAAGAAACTTCAGGTTATTTCCAACAACATCAAGTTTTAAGTAACAGAAAAAGGAAACACAAGATGCTTAAATTAGCTATAGAACATTTACGAGGATGATATGACTGAATCTTACAAATAGAATCATGTACGCAATTCATCCTTACTGTGATGGAGGTAAAAAGGAGAAAGGTTTCAGGCTTGTCTAAGTTGTGATGTAAGAGGTGAAATGGAGTAGATAGGTAAACCAGAAGTGACTTATTCCATATGGCCAGGAGCATGCATGAAACTATGTAATGTACATTATCCAATGTGATCAGATCCAAAAGGCATACACAACATGGACAAACGAAGAAAAGTTGAAACGTCCACGTGCTATAAGGTGAGAAATATTGCCATTAAGAAAACCACAATGACAGACCTCAAACACTCTTTATAACAGGTTATGGCTGCACGAGTGTGTCTAGAACTTCGGCAGAGCTTTCCCATTGTTAGATTCATCTGCAAATTCCTCGCTTTGCTTGGAATTCCTTCCATCTGTAACATCAAGCAGTGAAGGCATGGCTTTAGAAATGAAAGATGCCAAAACATTCTTTGGGGCAAGGGTGAGGGGCTATTAAGTAACTAGAAATGAATAACCCCTATCCATCTTCAATGTAACAGATCATGCAAGAAACAGATCATAGCAAGAAACCAGAGTCGAATAATAGAACCTTCATCTGAAAGCATACTTTATAACTGCACAGTAATGTGAGTAGATGGCATAGCAAGTTCTTGACTTCACAAATTACAATGAGAAAGATGCTTAAGTTTTTGCGTATTAAACATTTTCTTGCTAAAAAATTTCAAAAAAAGTATTTAGTTCAACCTCGAGAAGAGCAGCTCTGTTCTCATTCAGTGCACAATGACAGGATGCAATGTTGAACTTCACCTAGAAAAGATAATTTAGCCCGTTAAACAACTAAACCATCCACAAGTATACAAAAGAAAACTTATGCTCCAACAATGGTTTTTTTTTGTTTGGGGGGGGGGGGGGGGACATGTAGGAGATTGGAAAAAAAACCCTACCTCATATTCATTTATTGCTGAAATGTTAAAAGAATTTGGGGAAGACGACCTGTTTGACGCAGACAACGAGCTTCTGGCTGTTGTATTTTGTTTGGGAATAATCTTGTTTTGTTGCAATGCTTGCTTGTAAGTATGCTGTAAATAAACATAATCAATCATTTCAATCAACTCAGATCATTTCAGAAGTCTCCACATTGACTATCAACATGTAAAGTACAAGAAAATAAACTACCTTCGATTCCACCAAACATCAAAATGCCCATCTCAGTATCCAAAAAATACTCAAAATTTACATACACACACACACAAACACAGAATTATAACCCGGTTTGTGTAATGCTAGGCAGAACACAATAAACTGAATTCATGTCCACCAAAAATCAAAATGCCCAACTGGGTATTCAGAAATCAACCGGGTATTCAGAAAGTTTAAGACTTGTAATTAATATCAGAATTAATATGCATATTTAAGTCTGGTTGTGTGTTTGTGTGTGTCTGTGTGTTGTCTTACAATTGCTCTGCGATACTCCTTCTCTCGAAGCAATGCATCACCAAGAAGCACCTGAAATCACAAATCAATCATGTACGGATGTCCTTAAAAGTAAAAACCCAACATACACAAACGAAATCAACAAACACAGAATCGAGAAACGCACCAAATTTTCAGCCTTGAGCTGTGGGTTTGTCTCAGAATTCACAGAAGACGATGAAACAAGAAAGCAACCCTAGCCCAATCTCATCAATTTGTTAACCAAAATTAATTTTTTTTTTTCAGTTGGAAATCAAAATTAATAGCTGAAGGGTGAAGGGTGGGTTCATAATCAAATGCATAATCTGAACTTTTTGATCAGTATAGTGAAAACTTACGAGGATTTGAGCCGAATTGTAGAGACCATGATCAATAAGTGTAGACATTTGATCCTTTGGGACTTCCATTGTGTGTGGAGAAGTGAGTTGTGGAGTGACGTTTTGAACAGTGTCTCTACTCTGTACTAAAACCCTCCCACTCGCTCTGTTTTTGAAATCCCACTTTGAAGGGGTGTCTGTCGGATTTAAATTTAAATTTTGTTTTGGAGTGAATTTAAATTTCATTCATTTTTTTTTTTGAAAAAAAATCCCATTTTTTCCTCTAAAAGATACAAAACTTGAGGGGGTAACTTAGAAAAATTAATTATTCAGGGGATAAATTAATAATTATAAAATGGGATTTATCTGGGGAAAGTATATTACATTTCCCATAAACATCATTTTTATTTCATATTAATGAAATTCTTCTCTTAGTAATTTATTTGAATAAAATCATAAATTCTATAAATACTATATTTTTATTTCAATTTTATCTTTCTCTTGATAAATATTTACACCTAAAATATTGAGAATATAACATTAGTCTTTTCTTATATTTGTACATATTTAGACTTCTCGTGTTTTAGATTATGTATTGACAATTTGCCAATTTTATAAATAAATTTCAATTACTAATGAGATACAACACATGACTTTGAACCCCCATGCATTCCCGATGGAGCAGTGTTTCACACCGAGAATTTGAGTATTTTGTACTTTTAAAATCACAATTGAATTGAATATTATTATGTACACAAAAAATAAGCACCTATGTGTATGTACCATTAACTTCAATAAAAACTAAACATTAGTTCTAGAGAAAACAATAAGTAAATTAACTCATCAAAAATGGATGACAATTGATCCAATCTAAAAGAAATATAAAATTGACTTAAATAATAGTTGATACACAATAATGGTATAATTTTTTTACCTCTAACAAATTTTCAATGGGTAAAAAATATTCCAATCCTTAATCTCCACACAAAAAAAATGTTAATTCATCTAGAATCCATGATAAATTTCACGAATTCTATAATGTTAATATGTCGTTTTGGTTAGTTGAATTCATCAAATTAATTAGTTAAACATGCAGATTTGCTTAATCAAATCAATGAATTCATAACCTTGAATTCACAAATTCAATAATGTGAATGCACAAATTAAAAGAAGGGTGAATTCATTCATTGTATAACAGAGCACACGTCATTATAAACGAATTATGTAACTCAAGCACGATCCATTAATTTAATTACTCGTAATGGTCTGATATACAAAAATTTAGTAGATGATTTTGTCTCTTATGTCGTCAAAAATCATTTGATGAACATTGAAGAAAAAAAATAGCGGAATATAACAGAAAAATCACGTTACAACATATTTCAAGAGTAAATAATGTAAAAAATTAATTTGTAAAGTGAAAAATAATAATTATTAAATCTTTCGGGTTCAAAGTGAAATTATTCCTAAATTAAATTGATTAGGATTAGAATTATTTAGCATCCAGTCGTTTCTGTCTCTCTCTCGATCAATGGATTCATCATCCTCGACTTCACGCAGACGATTATACGCACAAACACATATATATCCTATGAATCGCCAAAAATCCATATCGAAGCGAATCGCAAAAGCAATTATCGGAAGATCGTGCCCTATATGTTTTACACACATCGACGATCGTGAAGCAGCGGTGATAACAGTGTGTATGCACGCGTATTGCATCGATTGCATTAGTAAATGGAGCTCTTTGAAGCCAAAGTGCCCTCTCTGTAACGCAGAGTTCGATTCGTGGTTCTGCGGAATCGACCTCTCGTCTGGAACGTTCCACCAAGAGAAATTGCCGCTAGTCAGTGAGGGTAAAAGTGATACAGTGTACGGAAGGAGAAGAGATCGATTGGCAGAGCAAAGGTGAGGTTTTTTTTATATATATAAATAAATTTGTTTCTTATTTGTCTCTCTTTTTATATTTGATAATTAAGTTTTTTTTTATATTTGTATTTTATGTTTGATTACTGAGAAAATGGAAGAGAAGAAATATATTGAGCTGGAAAGAGTTAGAAATTTAGAATCACAAATTTGCTTAATGCAGTTCAAATTCGCAAATGTTGAAATCAAAATAATCACAGTATTTTTTTTTTTTTTAAGAATTTGTTTTTTTTTTTTTTGGTATAAAACAAAGGTTTTGGGGGTTTTTACGAGGTAGGCCAGTGGAAACTGGGATAGGCTCTAAACCGAGACGTTTGAAACTTGGCAACTCCGTCAGGCGGATTTATCCTTCATGAGGAGATAATTGAGATGCGTGTAAGATACAATACCAAAAAAAAGTGAACAAGGCACAAGTTTGTGTATATGTAACAATTTTCGTTGGTTTTCTTGCCCACCCAACGTAGGTCCAAAATGTTTCATCCTTTGATTAACCCCATAAAATTTAAAAGCACCCTCTTATTGAGTTTAGTTAAGCTATTTTACAGTGTGGAGGTCAATTTTTCTGATATTGTTACACAGATTTCTGAGTTTTTACTGTTTTTAGAATTCTGGTCCTTTTGGCTACCAGCAGGGGGCCTAGGATTTTTTTTTGTTTTTTGATGAGGATTGAGATTTCAAATTTTTATATTGTACATTTCTCTTGCTGCTTAGGGTAATTAGAAGATCAAGGGGAGCATTAAATAATGATAGCTGGAGAACGAAGCCATTGCAGAGGCAGCGATCATTTGGGCAGTCAAGATTTTCACCTCCTGATGTTATTGCAGAAAGAATTATGCATTGGCGTGTTAGGTATTGCATTTTTAGTAGGATTTTTAATTGTATCTCGAGTTAAAATGTACTTTAGTTGTTAGTGTCTGTGTGATGGATTTAGAGCCGTGAATGGAGTAGATAATTTGGCATTCTATTGTTTCTTTCTTGCAGCATATATAAGCGGGGCTTGCAAGCTGTTCCTTGTGCTTTTAGGAGTGTTCTTCAGCAGGTATACCCAGTGTAACAAATTTATACTATGTGTTCTAAGCTTAAAAAATCAGCGTATGTTTGGTTTTTGGAGTATGATTTGAACATGAGTTTATTGGTGTCCTGCTCCCAACCCCTTTTTATCTCTCTCCCCAATTCATCTGCTTTTTTTTGGTGTGGTAAATTCATGCCAATGTTTTGTGAAAGATCAATGACATCACGCCCTGAGATTTTGACAACAAATTCCAAATTGTTAGAAGAATACAGCGTTGAACTGATTTTCATTTCCGTTAGCAAATGACCACAAAAATAGATAAACTTTTGGGAGCTGACATTTTCCCCCTACTTTCTGATCTGCAGAATGTAATAGGAAATAGTGGTTTTAAGGAAAGGATGCTGCAGAGAATAGAGCCTTGGATACGCAGGGAGCTGCAGGGTATTCTTGGGGATCCTGATCCATCTATAATTGTTCATGTCGCTGCCTCACTTTTTATCTCCAGCCTTGAAGAAAAGCACACGGTCCCATCTGGACAATTTGGTGTAGAGGATAACTATCTTGAACCTTTAAGACCTTTTTTGTTCGAATGGACCAAGATGTTCTGGCATGAACTTAGGTACATTTACAATTCTTTCATAACATGTATAATAACTTCTACCACCATTCATTTTGTTATTTTTGATGATATACCACATGCCAACTTTTGGTTGAAAATTGCTTATGCAGCATTGCTCTTTATGAATTTATTTACGCATGAAGCTGTAATTGAACATTCTGAAATTATTTTGTCGCTCGTAATGACCTTTTTCTAATAATCGATATTTGTCTTTTTCAGATGTTTTGCAGAAAGCTCCTTCACCATCGACACATATGACACTGTGGTTGAATATAAACTGATTGGATAAAGACAACCAGAAGAGTGACATACGGAACGAGCTCTGTTATTTTTCCCTTTCCCTTGCAACCAGAAATGCTACATTGGCATTTTGCAGCTAAATAGGTCATGTTTTTTCCAACAGGGAGGTTTTTTCTACACCTCTCTGGGTTTGACTTTGTTGGTGGTAATTTGCAATATTATCACAAGCTGCTTGAACTGCACTAATTCATGTCATTGACATTGGTTTAGCTTGGGAGATGAGCCAAATGGCATCAGGCGCCATTGTTTTGGTAGAGCTCAAGGTTTGGGTTTAGCAGCATGGATAAGGTGTCCACGATCATCATTCAAAACTAAAGAAGGGTGAGTCTGAAAGTAAGGGAAGCAGAAAAGTGATCATCTTTTATTTGGCTTCTGACTTAGCTGACAATGTTATCAGCCAAACAATTTGTGCCACAGCTGGTTAAGTATGATTACTCACAGCCCAGCGAGACGTGTTATCCTGAGTTAGAGATTGGAAATTCCAGATTTTAAGTGTTACTTCATCAATAGGTAATCCTTTACAAATTTCCCTCTTTGTGACAGATCAACAGAGGGGTTGAGCTCATACCCAACCACCTTATCAAGCCCCATAAAATCGCCATTCGTGTTTGCTGGGCATTTGGTTGGTTCAATCTTGTATAAATATGCTTTGTTCTTGATTGGGATATTGATGCCATTGCCATTATTATGTATTAGGGAACAAAGTGTCTAACCAACAATGCTGTTACCCTTGATTTTGTGTGAGCCTAGAAAATAAGTAACACTCCAATGGGTTAAAAAACTGTACTGGTGTTCGATCTTCCATCGATGGGGATGCCTTGCATCTGCAGTACACATTATATTCCCTTCTTCCCTCCATTTTTTGGACTCTAAAAAAGGGGAGATGTGGAAGTGCTATCATACTTTGGTTTCATAAACTCCATCCTTGTTTGGGTTTACAATTTACCCTAGTGCGTTGTGATGGGATAGAAGATTCTTACAGTCCTGTCTAGCTACTAGAAGGATAGAATTGTAATCTCAACGCAATAAAGCTTTTGAAATTCACGAGGGATGTCTTAAACAAATGCCACGAATAGCAGAAGGAAAGCAGGTGATGAAGAAGATGTACCAACAAAGCAGATATCTAAATACTCCCCTTATTTGCCATACACAGAGGTTGGGGGATTGAAGCCCCAATGATGTAACTTAAGTAAATCTTCAACAATGTTCATAACATTAGCTACAGAGAGTGAAAACATGATGCAAAGTCCTTGGGCTCTTAAATCTCGACATCCCAGGAATCAAATTCAAGGTTAATACTACAATCCTTTTACATGCAATATTAACACACATTTCAAATTCTCATAGAAAAGCAGAAAAAAAGATACATTATGGTGAAATCACGATAGTAAGTTTGGACTGCAGTTTCTTTGATTTAATATAGAGACAATTCCCAAATGAACCAGTCATTCTTCCTCCGACTCTTCCTCTTCTTGGAGAAGATTCTCTCTATTGTCATGGGCCCAAAAACCGCGTACGTCTATGAGCATGCTGGCCACAGTACCACCCTGTTTGCAAGCTAATAAATCAGCTAGCGTTACCCTTAGAGGGTCAGCTGGCTTCACCATATCCCAGATTTCATCCCTTACATCCTCAATACACAGTTCATAGTTCCCTCCCTCTATCCATTTCTGATGTACGTCTCTGTTTCAAATCCACCAAAGGAATTAGTTCAGTATATGCTGAGTCGAATCTACTCCAATATAACAAAGATTCATGTTCTAAAACTTCACGTTTCGGGTTATGTATCTTGTAATTGGAGACTCGTGGAACTTAATAACCACAAGCAGGAAATTACAGAGTTTTTTTGTAGGAAGGTTGTATCAGGTAACATCTCTGCTTTCGGATGTTCCCTTTCTTTTCTTCCAAGTTTCTTTTATTTGGCTTGGCCACTGAGAAGATGGAGAAAAAAAGACTTCCAAGATTCCTCTTCTCAGAAACCAAACAAAGCACACAAGGTTTACTTAACAAAAGGTTTTACTGCTGTAAGCTGAAGGCCAAAAATGTTTACCTGAAAAGTGCGTGAATATCAGCAGTTGTGAGGTATCCCTTTCCATGGAGATCGAGACAGCGAAACAAATACGTTAACCCCTCGGGAGTGTCTTTGTTTTCCAAGGCAAGAACAAAGTCAAGAAAACTTTCAAAATCCATCTCCCTAGCATTACCTCCTCCATTTTTGCCTCGGCGGACATGCTCATCAAAAGCTATCAATAGCAAATAAATGAAAAGAATGAACAAGAGGCAACCAAAACAAAATGCAGAAAAAAGTAAGTGTGTATCTGATCCAACCAATATGACAGATGTTGAAAACTCAAGTTAAAGCACAGATGGTAAGAATTTTTTCAAATTGATCATAGTATTTTGTAATGATACTAATCCCATGGCGGATTTGTGTCAACAATTATCAGAAAGTGAAGTCATTCAAAGTACAGGGGTGTTTCAGCAAGGACAGAAGTTTTTGGCCTAACATCTGCCAGAACACAGGCACGTCCCACATGCGAACTAGAGGCGGTCCATGGGTTGCATGTTCTACACTGCACTCTATCTTTTTTCCTCCCACCATCTTTGCAGTTACTTCTTTGTAGTGCATGTTCTACACTTAAATCTTATCTTTTTTCATCCCACCCATTTTTGCAGTTACTTTTCTGCAGTAGAGGCAATTTTCAACACGCTGAGTACGATTTGAACACAAGAGGAAGTAACATGGTTAGGGTTAGAGTTTTGACACAAGTTAGTCAAGGGTTGACACGATTATTATGTATGTTGTGTTAGGGTCTATCACGCTAACCCCCTTGACAAGTTTGACCCGAGAAAAGAATACGACTTGCGGAACCCGGCCAACCTAAGTTTTTCAATATTTTTCACACTAACATGACTTTAACCCATGGAACACGCATAACATGATAATGGTTTACATGGGCCGTGACGTCTTACCCGTCTAACAAATGGGTTGTGTCAAGACTATACGATTAGTTAACCATGCCGGTTTTAGGTTTATCCAATTTGAACACAAATTAAATACTATATGACTCCAAACCCAACCCAACCCAACCCTACTTTTTGGCCTTCGTGATGGCACTAAATGGAGGAGTTAGTGAAAGACCGAAGTTCTACCAACAAAGTCACTTAATAGTGTAGCAAGTCAGCCCCTCAATAGATATTGGCATCATAGTTGTTTGTATCGTACAATATGCAACACATATCTCACGATATATATATTTATGAGTTGTATTTTTTTTTTAACACGCGATACATATCTTATGATACGTTTTGATACAATAAAAAAAGGATACACACTATGACCAATTAAATGTCGTCGTTTCATAGACTTTTTCTTTACCCTAGATAGTGAAACAGCGTCGTTTCTTATAATTTTATTTATTCTTTTGTGGTTTGATCACAAGCAAACAAAACCTTCGATTATGATAGAAAAAAAGTATGATAGAGATCAAAAGGGGATTGAATAAACTTGAATTAAAAATTTGAATTATTATTTATTTTAGAATTACTCTATTAGTTGGGGAATATTTGTTTGATTATAATTGTTTGATTATAATTATTTTAATAATTTAAAGGTGAGAGTTTCATTAAGAAACTACTTTAGTATTTTTTTTTTTTCGGAAGGTAACTTGATGTAATCCATAAGATACTTAAGGGAACGCAAATTCGAAGATGTGAAAGATAATAGAATTGCTTTCTATCAAGACAAAGATCCATATGGAACCTTACATTATTGTATTTTGAGTCTTATTTTAAGTTAGTTTGAATCAATTTGCTAGTATTAGTATTTTATATGTCATTTTAATAGTTTTTAGACTCAAGAATATTTTTTTAATTTATAAAATTTCTAGAATGGGTCATATTTTTGGGTCAAATTCTTGTGTTAAATATTTTAAAATATAAAGTTCTAAATCTAGTTAATTTTAGTTTTCTAATTTTTAGTGACCTAGAGTTTTTGGACTCATAAAGATTTTGGAATTCTAATCTTTTGGGATTAAGAGTACTTATAACTTTATATATAGTTAGTGTTGTTTTAATAAAATAAAGAAATATTTCAGAAATTTCAGAAATTATATGCTTCTTGAGTTATGTGATGTAATTCTAACACCTAGGTGTGATGCCTACGGAACCCTAGGAGTGATTCCTAGTCAAAGTTACTATGCACACATACTGTTACACAACATAATTACTGTTCATAGATTCTGTTCACAGCTCTTAAACAGCCTGTATTTTGATTTTATGCTGCTGTCCTACATCATAACTACTTTACTATTGGATTAAGAACTTATTACAGAGTTTCAGTAGGAAAGGAATTTGAGAGTTTATTTATGAAACTATTTTAAAATTTTATTGAGATAGTAATTTTTATTTTGATAGGAGACTTAGCCTATAAATCTCGAAGTAATCCCCACTATTTTTATTAGTGTTAAGAAAATTATTCTCTGTGGCGAATTTATGTATTTTTTGACCAATTCCTTGTGAGGATGACGTAAATCTCTTCTACCCCTTCTTTTTTTTTCTCCTTTTTTCTTTTATCTGGTTTTTTTCCTCCCCGTCCTGCATCAAGGTATTACTAGCTGATATAATCTGGTTGACCCAATGATTATATAATGCAGGTGGAAACAAAATTAAAAAAATGATATTCTTTTCTTGGTCAGAAGAGGAATCTTTTACCCTGAGCAAAAGAGTAACAGATGGAACCCACCACATTGTTGAGTTTTCTTTTAAGAGAAAGATCCATTCATACCGACAGAGGAGCTTACACGGTAACTGAGAAGCCAAACACTATATTCATTGGATTGCAAAAATGTTTTTAGAGAAACAGAAAAAGATGAAGAACGGTATTGAGAAACAATATTCATTTTATGATAAGAGGGTAAAGGGCCATCACCCTTCCGATGCGACCGAAACAAAAATGTATGAGTTCCATTCCGTATACTTTTCTCAGAAAATTGTGAGGAAACTACTGTCAGTTCTTACCTCTCTCAACGAAAATATCTGTCAGAGTCCCATCTGCATATTCTCGAAGCTCCTGTTTGCTCAATGTCCCATTCATATCTTTATCAAGCGCAAGAAACATATCTGCAAAAAATAATATAAGCAACATAAGCTACAAAAATAATGGCGAGGGAAGTTATAAACTTCTTAAGCAATCAAAATCATTTGCGAGCTTACCTATGTAATATAAATGCATAATTCATTCATTCCTTTCTAGGTGAAAAGAATTTGTAAACATCAATGCCATTTCCAGTGATCACTTTCCTTTTCTTTGGGTGGTTTGAGGCGTTTTGTGGGGTTGTTTTATTTTATTTTAGTTGGGTGGTTGGGTATTTTTTATTTTTTTTTTTTTTTTTTTTTTGGGGGGGGGGGGGGATGCTGCAAGAAAGCAAAGCAACTTCACTTCATGTTGGTATACACTGAAGCACAATATGTTATGAGCAGTGTGCACTATGGTTGAATCACATTGCACCTTACCTTCTAGAGGAAATCCTCAGCTGAAAAACCTTATATTCGGGCTTGACAGTGCAGAGAGATACAAAGTTAAAGGGAAAATTTCAAAAGAAAGAACCTCAGACATTGCTGACATCATGAACAATTGCCCTTTGTTAATCCATAATTTCTTTTCTTCTTCTTCTTCTTCTTCTTTTTTTTTTTTTTTTTTTATTTAATCCATAATTTCTCGGTTACATAGTTTTCGTGAACTCCATAAATGGTTAAACACAGTTGCAGTTCATTCACAACATTCGAATTTTAGCATTTCACCTCACTACCCAATTTATTTTTACATTAACATCTGTCCTTCCAAGGGTTCATATACTTGAGTAACTTCATCTAATAGAGACCAACAAGAAGAAAACCCTTTGATTGCATTATGAATAAGGAAATTTCACTTCCACTACCTAATAGCAGTATTAGCTCAGCACATACATATTCAGGACGACTCCAAGAACAAAAGGAGAGAAATAACATAGCAGAAGTCTCGATGTGTATCAAAAACTTAAGGGATTCAAAGTACGCACCACATATACGTTGTGCTGATGTCAATGAAAACCAATTTTCAGCTTGTTCAGTATCAGTGACTTCTTCCTCACTTTCCTAATGTAAATAAAAGACAAGAAATAAAAGTAAGCTCCTACCTAAAACATATAAGGATAAAAATTGCATTCTAATGCTTTATTAAATCTTACAATCATATAATTCTAATTTGTTTGGCATACATTGACATACTGCATGAGATGTACAATAACAATCTAAAACTAAGCTAAAGCTAATTTGAGTTTTCCTAAACTAGCAATGCCCCCCACGTGTGTTGCACGTGAATAAATTTAGAAGGGTAGTATTTTCTTGATTATTTTTTAAGGGTAACATAGTAATTCAAAAGGTTTTTAACATTTTGACAATTATAAATTTTAATTTTTTTATTTATTTGTAAAAACACGTTATCTAATATTATATACATACATAGAGAGAGAGAGAGAGAGAGATGAATGAAAGGATATAATGTAATTTGAATTTGTAAATGATAGTTGTATTGTTAAGTGACGTTCACTCTGATGAATGAATATTTATGTCTTTTTTAAGTTATTGAAGGATAATGATGTCATTAACTATTTTAATAAGGGTATACTGGTTAATCAAAAGTTTTTCACGGTTAGTGACTATTATAATTAGTATAGATAGATAGATATAGATACAGATATAGATAAGTAAGATAATTTTAGAAAGTGCCAAAGGTTGGTCCAAACTATGGTAATTTGACCAAACTATGGGCTAACACTTTTGTTGAGGACAACAAATACCAGAAGCCTAGAAAACTTAAGTATATCTTAAATTGAGGTGTTTAAGTGACAAGAAAATAACTACTGACAAATTACCTGGTGCAGTTCCATTAGTTCCTGGAGGCAGTTACTAAGCAAGACTTTCTTTATGCAAGCTTTTCCTGCAAAAGAAAAAGAAAATCACTGTCAATTAGAAGCAGCCCATGGTATGAGGAATAGAAAGAGAGCTTATCCTTTTAATGTAAGAGATAAGACTTAGATCATGGTAAACCTCGCCTATGGGGATCACAAAAGAAGAAAAATTTGTGTGCAGCTATACGGCAGTACATTTGAACAAAGGCTGCAGGCATGTCACGAAGTTGTGCTAAATTAGGAATAAGACCTCTTATATAAGCCTCCATTTCCTGTGGAAAGTAAAAGACAGCATAGTTTGAACAGATAAGATCATCGAATAGAAAAAAAAAAAAAAAAGCTACCCATGCGACCAGTAATAAATAATAATTATACACTAAGATTCCATCAAAGAAAGAACTAGTATCCATTCACATGATCAGGGGCTCAAAAGTGCAAAAATCCATACGTGAGATTGAAGGAAACCATCAGAATCCTCATCCAGCTCACTCATATCAATTCTGGCCTGAGTAAGAGAAACCTGAACAACAATGGCAGTACGTAGTATTAAAATAACACTATGGGTGAGAGAGGGAGTACTCCGCCTAAGTCTGATTTTGGGTTTCAAATAACCCACAACCTGGAAATTGGTGGAATTTTTACTCAGAGAGAACCTAATAACCCAATTAAACAAATTCAAGTAGTGTACGAACCATCACAAAAAATAAGTCAACCCTCAAGATCCACAACCAACCTACCCAAAATCACAATTTTAGGAACACCATTTTTAATCTGCCTCCTTTATTTGACTCCAACATACTATTTTGTATCCCCCCCCCTTCTCTCTCTCTCTTTTTTTTTTTTTTTTTTTTTGGGGGGTGTTGTTATATCGAGTTGAGGAATCCTTATACCTATTGAACAGGGCAACTTAGCGTGGAGAGTTAAATGCCATCACCATCAAAAGCATTAGTTCTATAACAGTGTCACCCCCAATGGCACAAACAAGCAGCAAAATGTGAACTTCCATAAGACTACATGAAACCTAATATACTGACTTCAATGAAGGTTGAAAAATAAATAAAGGAAACATGTTAGGAGTAAACAAACATGTGCAAAGCATGTGCGAGCAAGACTCACCGTACGCATCACGTAAAGGTAAAAGGGTAGAATGGCAATTCTTCCTGACTCATCTTTCTCAAATTTCATAAAATTTGAAGGACTGAAAAACCGTCGGCATTTAGGGCCAATTTGTTCTGTACATACAGAGGCAATGTGGCAAAAGTCTTCATAATTCATCTAAAAAGAGGAGAAACAAGACACGTTTTAGTATCCTTACAGCAAATAATACACATAGGAAACAGAGGGAATCAGAAAGAAGAGAGGTAGAAACATAAAAACTGAAGTAGTAGAGGTATTAGATCAGAGTGCCAAATCATTAACCTAAACCCAAAGGTTTAGATAAGGTAATAGAAAGAAATCCAATATTGGTGTCGAAGGAAATAGTATCACCAAAAAAAGTAAAGTGATACACACTACCTCTAAATCTATGAAGCTCACCGCTTAAATAGTGACCAAACACAGATATGTGTGTTTTTGTGTTTGTGTGTGTGTACAACATGGCCCTCCAAGTTGCAAGACAGAAAGAAAGAGCTCTGTCAATATTGATGTATAGAATACATTCAGTGTCGTATTCAAGGGAGCAAGCTACAGATAGAATGATAGAGAAAGAATGATAGAGAAAGAGATTTATATAATAGACCTGCAAAGAGATGGACCGTATAAACATTCAAAACCTTTGGTTCAAATCAAACCTTGCCATCGCAGTCAATATGCAAGGTTATGGGACATACCACTAAAAAACACCAAGGCCTAACTACAACTACAACTTGAGTGAGATAGGCTAGATGTTACGAAAGTAACACAAGAAAGGACCATCTTCAAATGGATATTGCATATTGAATGAGCTAGTCTGTTCTGAAACTATGATTGAAAGAACCTGTGACAACAAATTAGTGGAATGAGGAATTAAGAGACAGATAGAGGGGACCAACCTATCCGTCACTGGTGGACCCTCTTGAGAAAAGTCATGTAGCTCTAATCGAGTTGTTTAGGCTTTGGAATTCCAACTTTAGGTAGGGGTTTTGGTTTGAAGATTATAAAATGGGGTGTGGGTTGGGTTCATCTTTCTCCAACCACTTCAAGTGCAAGGGAGGGTGATAGAGGGGACTCATATATTATATGATTCCACTCCAACCATGAGATTGAAAGCAAATTATAACAATTGCTCAAACAGCTTTATGAGTTTTTGTGAGTATTGTGAGCAAGATAACCCGGGCAATCGATCTGGAAGAAACTCAAAGGACCAGCAACTGCTAATGTTATATTCACAGAAAATCTGAATTCGTTAAAATTCTCTTCATCATCAGTGTCGTGATGGTGGTGTTACAGACCTTTTCAGCACCAGTGGAATCGTCAATCACACAATTTTCCCTCAAGCAAACCCACATGGCATCCAGATCATCAGCATTCAGCAAAATATCCGATTGCTTCTGAACAATTGAGAAAAAATAATCGCATTGAATATTCAAACCACATATTCCATAAGCCAAACATTAACCCGTGTTATGTCTTGATAGTCATACCCATGCTTAAACGGATCCAAATATATTTTGATAATCTAACTACTAAAAAAAATGACTTTTCGTGGTACCACAGGACAATGAGAAACCTTTTTTTACCAAACAACTATCCATATGGTGACCTTCAATTTCCCCACAATTGAAATGCTTAAGCAATCACAGCCAACAACCACCATCAAAATCACACTACAAAAATGTAAGCTACCTTTAAAAAACGAAATTTTGCTAGTCTCTGGACCCTATGACTGATGGACCCTTCTTCAGCTTTCTGAATGACAAAAAACACAATTACAGAGAAAGTTAAAAGAAAACAAATGTATAAAAGGGTAAAAATGAAGATGGCACAAAAAGATAATATTAAATAAAGTAAAATTTATGCAAATAGAAAAATTACTAGTATAACCTGCTTATTTAATTACCTCGCCTATTGCCAGATAAAACTAATGAAACCAAACACCCAAGCAAACAACCATAATATGTACCTTCTTATAGAAACTTGGAATTGCACCAGCTTGAGCACTTTTTTGTTGCTTTTCTTTGAAAATTTCTAGCAAGATTCTCTTTGTTTCTAGCTCTATGAAAGAGAATTGGCATACGTAGGGTTAGATTCCAGGTGAAATTATAAACATCATAGTCATGAATATATATATATACAACCATACGGGTGAGATAAGAGCCAAGCATATAGCTTTTGAGAACCTGAGTACATTGGGCACCAAATCCACCAAAACCAAGTGAATCCACCCAAAACAGAAAAAAAAAACTCAGTCTGAATAAATCCAGAGTAGAACAGGGCAAAGCTGAGAACAAGTTCATGAGGCCAATGTGAATCCACCAAGTTCAAATTATAGGGGACAAGCATTTTAGACCACTGGGGGACTTCACCAACACAATGCAAGTGCAGGTATGCTTTGCTTCTAGTTTGATGAAAAGGCAAGACCAAATGGGAAAAATCGGTGTCACATTTGCAGTTTGGTGATGATACAATTTTCTTTTCGAATTTTTAAATTTTCAGCAGATTGCTAAGGTTGTTGAATTGATTTTTGATCTTAGAGTTAATATGGAAATAAGCTTGATTGCTTGAATAATTTCTTGTCAAGACAAAATAGCTAGTTGGCTTTGGCCTTGGGGTGTTCAATTGAGAGGGTGACCTCTTAAGGATTTATTTAGGTCTTCCTTTTTGGGGTAACCTTCTGTTTGTTTCTTTTTGGGATCTGGTAATTCAAAAGGTAGGAAAAAGAATGGTTGGGTGGAAGAAAACTTTTATTTCTAGAGGGGGAAGATTAACTTTAATAATCTATGTTAGCAAACATTCTCATTTATTTTTTATCTCTCTTTAAGATGTATAGTGGGTTGGCAAGGAGAATTGATGGGATAATGAGAGATTTCTTATGGTAAAGATAGGATGATGGTAAAAAGGCTCATTTGGTTGGTTGAGAGGTGGTTTCTAGGTCAAAAGTTAAAGGAGAACTTTCAGTGAGAAATTTAATAGCTAGAAATATGGCCTTGGTTGGAAAATAACATTTCCTTTGAAGCAGAATTTGCTAATGCACTTAGTTATTAAAAACAAGTTACTGGGCAATAGGTGGAATGCTACTAGGTGTGATAGGAGAAGCTATCAAAATCCTTGGGGATTATATTGCTTTTCACAAAGGTCAAGTTCATTATATTGCTCGAGAGTTAGATTTTGGGAGGACATTTCGGTTAGGGAGTCATCATTACCAAGTTTATTTCCTCATTTATTCTGACTTTCTAAATATTATGGTCATAATATTGCTTCTTTGGTAAGGTCGGACTGGGTTTCAATTTCTTGGGAGTTTGAGTTCCGTAGACATCTTAATGATAGGGAGTGTTTAGAACTAATGTCACTTATATCCTTGCTTAGTCCAATTACTTTGAACAATGATTCATGTGATAAAATCATACAAGATGTTAGGTCATTGACCCTTCGGGATCTTTCCCATGTAAGTAGTTGTTTAAATCCTTGATTGATAATCTTATTATTCCTTTATTCTACCTGACATTGAAGATTTTGGAAGACTAGGATACCCTTAAAAAGAGCAAATTTGTACATGGGCAATTGCTCATAGTAAGATTAATACTTGTGATATACTTCAAAGAAGAAAACCTCACATTATGTTCGCAATGGTGTGCCATATGTAGAGAAAATTGTGAAAATGTGGACCATTTACTCTAACATCGTACTACCGCATTATCTTTGTAGAATAAATTATTTTGAGTTGGCAAGACTTTGTTGAGTGGACCCAAGAACTAGTTTATCCATGTTTTGCATGGACTTCGAAGGATTGGACGGAGATGTAAAAGGTAGCTACTAGAGTAGTCACTTTTTCTTAAGTCATAAAGGTTATTACCATATTGGTGACCAGCTTTCAAAAAGCACCTTGGAAGGGGGAGGAGGGAAGAAATGCAGCTTGCCCCTCACGAACTTCTTATCTGGGCAATACTATAGGCTTTTTCAAATATTTGGATGCACGTGTTTTGTTCATATTCCTGCGCAGTTAAGAGATAAATTGTTCCCAAGGCAACCATTTGTATCTTTATTGGCCATGCACGATTTGGCAATGTGCTTTCTTTGCACTCATTAAGGTTATTTGGTTTGAAAGAAACTCGCGATTATTTGAAGAAATGTTGGAAAGGATGTGGGAGCGGACATATTTCTTGACTTCATTTTAGGCTTTAGTAACAAAGGAATTCGAGAATGTCCCTCTTTTTTGTAATACATAAAGTATGACAGATGTAACATTTTAGGCTTTAGTAACAAAGAAATGTGGAATTTAGTCTGTGCCCTATTTTCTCATGTTTTCTTGTGATTTTTGGGTTGGATGACTTGTCCACCTTTGCTTGCTTATTGTCATACTTTATTTATTTATTAATAAGTTTGTTTTCTTTAAAAAAAAAAGGGAAAATGGGAAGCAAAGTTCAACGGTGGAACTGAGATGCTGACATATACGATTTCTTTTTTCCACTTAATGTGATCCATTCATGTTGCAGACATCATCATTTTTCTGCCAAATATTTTTAACTAAATTTCAAGCTAAATTCAGGTAACCGGACCACCAGAAGCAGGAATGCTCGCTACCCAATACTAACCCTTTCCATGCGGTTTCCAGGGGCATAATCCACAATTACTCACGCGAATTTCATCAAAACCAAGCTATCACCCATACAACAATACAAACCCACATTACAAGCTTACCATCAAAGCCAACCAAATTTCATAGAAATCTATGGTTCCAATCTAACAACTATTCTCACAAAAATTAACCCAAAAAGAAATGAAGTTTACTGGGGCATTCTGTAAAGTTTCATACATGAGTGATCAACATAAAGAAATGAGAGAATAGTTGGAGAAAATACGTACCCATCAAAGCTTCGGAGCCAAGACCGTCTCCGGATCCGATGAACCGGCGAAGGTTGCGGACCCACAGCATCGACGACGGCGGAGGAATCTTCCTCTGCGCTGATGAGTCGTGGCCTTCGCCATCGCTTGAGCCACTGTACATTTTCTTGAGAGAGAGTCCTCTCTAATCTATACCTCTGATTAGAAACTTCCAAGATCAAAAATTCTTCAGACAGAGGTCGATTTGAACACCGATCTGAAATCCGAAAACCCTAGAAATATGGACACCAATTACTGGTTCAAAACCCTAGCTCTTCGAGCTTTGATCTGTATACATCTTTCAGTGTTTTCTGAAGCTCCACTGTGTACACCGAAGAATTATACTAAGCCCCTCTAAAATTTATCACTTAATCATTTGAACCCTTTAATATTTAAAATATTATATACAAAACCCTGTCATCATTGTATATCTTCAGTATTGCCCATAAACCTTGTCATTCAGATCTCCTAAAATTTATAGGCGTATAATACTTAAAACTCTCAAGTTTAAAATATTATTTTTATACTAAAAATATATGGCACGACTTGTTAAACACGAACTAATAAATGAATTAAATATGTGTAAAGTATTTTTTAACACGAATTCGTTTTCGCTTGATACCATTGTCAGGTCCAATTAACACTCCTAAGCAGTTGAATTGGGCTGGGGCTATGCTATGTCCTAACTATTCTTTTGCAAAAAATCCTAGAAAATAGTAAATAGTGGTGGATTTATTCAAATGTCAGAATAAGAGTCAAATATCTTTGGCACCAACTATGCCCCTATTAGTAAAATTTGAAAGCAATCATATTTTTTTTTGTAAATCAGGAGATCGGTCCCACTATATAGACTTATTTTGAGAGAAGTCCAACAAGAAAACTTATTTCATTTTCAGTCTATTTTTTGTCAAGTTTATTATTGTACACCAACCATTTGAAAAAACAGTAACCGACGTTTGACTTACTGTCTCATTTACATAGGTTAGATCATTGAGGTATATATGGACCCTTAATTGAGTTATATATGAAAACTGTTTATTAAATCTTATAATAATTAACGAAAATTTTATATTGAATTTATATATTCTGATAGTTATATATGAAAGTTTGATGTATGAATAATCGTTGGTCTATTAAATCAAAATCATATCACAAAATTTCCTTAACAATTCAAATTTTTTTAACATTAGTGTTACTATAGTGACACGAATGAGATTGTTTTCCTTAAAATGCTCAATATTCAAAAATAAGAATTTCACAATTTCAAATACACAAACTCAACCCCCAATTTCGATTTTACTCTTCAAATTTACTGTAGAATCCATTAACAAAGTTATAGTTGATTATGTGAATTCAAAACATCTTCACAACTTTAGAATTAAAGTGTTAATATAATTCGATTTGTTGTGTAAGACATTCGAAATAACTTTGTTATGTGTCTGTGAAATAGATCATGTTACTGTGTGATAATTGGAAAAATAGATTTCAAAATTTTGATATATTGATGTTATTTATTAGTGTTGAGTGTCATAATTCAACTGTCAACGGTGTGTTACTATTATAAATTTTTTAATTTTTTAATTTGTGAATCGTATTTTACTATAATATTTAAAAATTGATGTTACTGTGAAAATCATATTGTTTTGTATTTTGTAAAAGTCAATGTGTTACTGAGCACAAACCTTTGATGTTACTGTAAAAATTAAATGTGTATGTTACATAATATACGTCTAAAAGTTTGTAATTTGTAGTGTAAGTGAAAATTGAGATTGAGTTTATGTTACTATTTGAAATAATGGAATTATTCATTTTGGGTATTGGGTATTTTAAGGAAAATAATTACATTCGTGTCACTATAGTAACACTAATGTTAACGAATTTTTGTGATATGATTTTGACTTAATGGACCAACGATTTATTCGTACATCAAACTACAATATATAACTCTCATATTAAACTTCTATTAATTATCATAATATTTAATAAACGGTTTCTATATATAACTCAATCAAAGATTTCCATATATACCTTAATAATCTAATCTATGTGACTTTCAATAACTTGACAAAACTAACATCGTTAGGGATAATTGTAATATTTAAAAAATAAGTGGATTTAAGTACCTATATATAAGTTTAAATATAGATTTATCCCCAAATAAATTTTCTTATAAGACTCAAGTCATTATAAGTTCATATAAGGGGACTCCCATTCAATTTCACTTTTTTTTTACTATAAAATTATATTGTATTTACTCCTCTTCCTCGATAGAGGATAAAAGATTGGACTAAAGACTGCCTCATATTATTAGGGGTAAATTGTAAGGAGGTACACTAAATTATATTTATTTGGTAAAAAATACACACTAAAAAATATAGGGTTATTAAGTCATTAATTTTGATACTTATTTGCATCTAAGTACACAATTTGAATTTGCCTTATTTTTTGTGGCATTTTTGTCCTCCATTGATCCATATGTATGTTTTTTGGAAAGTAGTGCATTAAATATCTCATAATTTTATGGAAAAACTTTAGTATTTAATGCACATTAATTCATGTGTATTTGTTAATATATATATATACATATATACGTGTAAAGTGTAACATTTTTGAAAGTGTAAAGTGTAAAGTATTATCTTATGTGTCACATTTCTTAATGGAAAGTGTAAAGTGTTATAGAGTAATATTGAAAGTAACAATAACAGTATAGCAATAACAATATAACAAGCTATTTACATAAGGTAAGAGGAGATATTATCTAAAGTGTTACACAAACAGAATATACATGTCTCATCGTTGGTCCATCAGTGTTAAATGTAACATTTTACATTTTCATTAAGTAAGGTGAGACATAAAATAATACTTTACATTTTTCACTTTCAATGTTACACTTTACACGTATATATATATATATATATATTAACAAATACATCTGAATCAATATGCATTAAATATTAAAATTTTACCATAAAACTAGGAGATATCTAATGCACCACTTTTTCTAAAATGAGCATTTATGTCTTTGTATCTAATTAGTGTACCTTTTTCCAAAATATTTTTTAATATGTATTTTTTATAAAATAAATCTAATTAAGTGTACCGACTTAAAAAAACCCCTTATTATTAGTGAATGAGGTAGGTCCGTATTGCAAACCCAATTTTTTGTTTGGGCTGCTTTGGTTACTTCACAGTCCTAACTGGTAGAATTGGGCTGGCCTCGTCAGTGTTCTAAGCCCAAAACTTAGTTTGGGCTGGGTTTTTCAATACCCGTTGGAGTTTAACCAACACAATGTATTCCAAGCCTTAGCCTTCTATTTCTTGTTGTCCTTCAATTTTCTACCTAATAATAATATATTTTTTGTGCGTGTGGTACAGTTTGAGGAAGACTGGTAAAAGATATAAACAATCTTAGTTTTTTTTTTTTTTTTTTTTTTTGAACAAGATAAACGATCTTAGTTTACTTGTGTGCTAATTGTACGTGTTTGTGTTCAAAACACATATCCAAAAATAAAAATAATTATGATGGCTATGCAAATTTTAAAAATCTTAGAACTTTGTACGAATAATTTCTCAAAAGTCAATGGAACCCACACCCTGATAAGTGAACCCATAAAATAAATGCACCTCAAAAGTTAATAAGTTTTACCCAAAAAACGGTAAATATATGATTAGGACGTGCAATAGAACTTTGACACATCCGTAATACAAAATACGTCAAAAAAATATTTTAAAAAAATGGTAAGTAATGAGGTACAAATTTTGTTTGCGGGGTACTGTACTCAACCCTGTTTTTAAATAGTATCAGTATATCATTTCACTTAACTTGCCTCTTCCATGACTTTTTGGACCAATCAACTCGAATCTGCCCTCACAAGTCTCAAGTAATATATTTTAGAAGAATAAAACTTTGAAAGACATGATTTTTTTATATTTTTGCGTTGGCATATTTGAATTGTCTTACTCTCTCTCTCTCTCTTTTCAATTAACACACTCGATGCAGATAGCTCTGATGGCCCCCGCTTCTATCTCTATCAGGCTGCGATAGCCCCCACCCAAATGAAATTTTACCCAACTTATTTGCCTTTCGGTTAACTTTGAGTAGGTACTAATTGGGCTAGTGAAGTCCCTCATTTTGCTAATGATTAATTGTTATAACTTTTCATTTGTGTTGGTGTTAGATCTCTTCAATTTGATGTTGTTTAGTTCAATCATTCTACCCCCTACCCTCCTCCCTAAGATCAGGCTTTTTTTTTTTCCTCTCACAATAATTGCAACTCTTCTCCGTTATCAATTTATAGAACAATGAATAACGTAATCTCTAACACATTAGTCTGTCTTAACCACGTGTTTTGGACGTAGTAATCAAAATATAAATTTTTTATGTATACAATTACTCAGAAAATGTATGTATCAAGTACCTCAAACAAGAGCTTGTAACTCCAATATAGTGCATCAGCAAATTATTTCCATTCAAAACTAAACAGATTCGGTGGAAGAAACTTCAGGGGCTACTTACTTGTTGATAGCTCTTCTAGGATTCTGGGTGGTAAAAGATAACTCTCTCTCTCTCTCGCGTCAAAGTCCAAGTCTCAAGTCTTAGAATGTCATAATCCTTTTCCCCAAATCCCGGCCGACCTTGTACACTATCCAAAAGTGTGTGCATGTTTGGGAGAATGTGCAACATTCCAATCTGACCCAAACAAGTTTCTTTCTGTCACAACAGTAACACCAAAACACGTAAACGCTAACATCAGTTTAAGTATTAATAGAAACGAACTATAAATTTAAATATTTTAAATTTAAATTTTAATAATTTCTTAACGCTTGATAAATATCTTAGTTCTGGCCAAATACCATAAAAAAAAGACACGTCCCCCAATCCACTTCAAATTGCCCATTTCATTATTTTTTAGATTAGACAAAGCCATCAATTTTAAGGAACTGCACTTTCTAACCACTTAATCATACTGGACTACATAGCCCAAGTGGGTCCCATCTTTCATATGAACCTTGACTGCTTTTCATCCTTTTCAAATGCTAAAACCCAAATGGCAAAGGCCAAACTTTCACACAAAGAAAGACATACTCCATGTCAATTTGAACCATTAGTTTCTATACATCAGAAAAATTCTCTCTCTTTGATTTTTTTTTTGGATGCTTTTTGGGTCTAATAGGAATATGCAACATGGGATTAATATGAACTTTACAATTGTAGTTTGTAAAAGCGCACCATTTTATAATCATAGAAGTCGGGATGAAATGGAATTAATAGTATTTATATATTTTTTTTGTCTCTTGTAAATTTTAGTGGAAGAGTCAAGGGTTTTTTTATTTTTAAGTCATGAAGATTCTAAAAAGAAGACAACTGATTATTATTTTATTAAGAATTTAATTATATATATCTATCTCCCACTTTCAAAATTTTTTATATCTATTATCTTCATTTATATATAGTTTTCATATATGCAGTGTGCAATTGGAATAGACCATTACAGGGACCAGTGGCAAGCATTATGGAATTTTGAAATGACAAGATAGGATGTTGACCTATTTGATTCCTATTAGTGTATATGTTGTTCCCAATGCCATTTAGGCATGTGAAGTTTGATCAAAAAGGGGGAAAAAAGTTGGAAGTGTCCTATTGGAACTATTAATTAAATGGATTAGTGCCCCACTCAGGCTCTTGTTAGGGTTGTTTTGATCCTTCTTGCTTTACTTGTGTTCCTTAAATGTTTGATTGCCCTTTTGACTATAAAACTTTTGGACAGAATAGAGACCCATGACTTTTTTTTTTAATGGTTAGAGATGTCTGGATCAACTTTCACGCACTTCAATTAATTCACTCTCTAGTCTAATCAAAAACAGGTCATCAACGTCAGAACTAGTGTATTAATGAGAGATAAATCTCTTATGAATTAGGACGTCTAAGTTTTACAACTCGTCCATATTACCACTTGACTTATTTTGAGCTTAACTTTTTTTATTATTTTTAATATGGGTTTGAGTTTCGTAAATAATTTTTGTCATAATGGGACAAGGTTTACATATATTTGATCTTCTTCAAATTTTACGGTGTCACTTCTAAAAGGTGATTACCCAATTTGGTATTTGTAAATCGATAATGGTGGGAGAGGCAGATTAGTAAAAATCCACCAGATTGGTCTCTTGGTGTGAAAATATTATCCTGAAAAATGTGTTTGAAGCCTATATAACTGACAAACAGAACATACCTAAAGCTTTGACTTATTGTCCCTTATGAAGTACCCCCCATTGTCTTTGAAATATGAGACTGTGTTATTTCCATTGCATAGGGCAACTATCAAACACAAAAGGACATCTTGATCACTCAGCTTAAGGTTTTTAAGAGATAAACCCTAACTGCTCCCTCTGAAAATCATGAAACAGACAAGAACTAAGAAGAAATTTAGCTGATATATTTTGCAGAGAATGCGGATATACATGTGCATATCAGACATTTATACAGCACAATAACATTTTTTTTCATTTAAATTAAAATTAATTAGACTCTGCAGACAATGCTGCCATTGCTTTTTTTTGTGGGCTACTAGTGTTTTAAGGCATTAATCCTACTGTTCAAGGCTTGCTTCCTACTGATCATTCAAACCTGTTTTCTCTCTGATCAACTGCATTTGATCATGATTGATGATGTCCTATCTTATCTTTGATCTCCAACATTCCTGCAAGATCTATAAATTAAGATCCAATGGTACTATTACTGGAAATTGCCCTACAACGAGTTGGGCGTCGCAGGTTGATTCACAAAAACAACCTCCCTGCAAGGTTGCATCCATTTGACTTTCTCTAGACCTGAGTTGGGCGTTGCCTTTCTTCTTAACATTAAACAGCAATGACATCCAATCAAATGTGTATGAGTTGAGATATTGATTCAATTGAACTTATTTCACTTGTAAATTTCTTCAGCTTCAATGGAAGTAGCAAACCATATATTCTCCACTTACTGAACTAGAAAGAAAGTCACTGTTGCAAAGTAACAAGAATACAAAAGGGTAGTTATGGAAATTCAATTTATAAATTTGGACAACGAGCAGGAAATCTTTATATATTTTCACCTTGTTGCTTATAATAAATTGATTTAAAAAACTATAACAATTTATAAAATTGAAAAAAGAAGAGAGTTTGAAAGGGGGTGAAAAGAGAAGATGGTCTTTCAAGGAATGACATCTGCAGTGTCCTTTTCTCTCTGTCCATGATCAAATCAGTCTTTAAAAAGAGCTCCCCTTAGCTTCCACACACTTCATTCAACCTCAAGATTTCAATTGTCTCATCTTCTCCTTCTCTAGCATACTTTAGTATTCGGCCAAAATTTCTACATTACTTGCTGCAATGTCCACCTCAAAAACCTCAGATAAACCCTTCAAAGGCTTTGAACTAAGCCAAGCTCAAACAGCTTTCTCTTTCTTGCAGCCTAACGCATCCCCATCTCAACATAATGAGAGAAGAGGCCGGCGAAAGCAAGCAGAGCCAGGGAGGTTCCTAGGGGTGAGGCGGCGGCCTTGGGGACGATATGCTGCTGAAATCAGAGACCCCACAACTAAAGAGAGGCACTGGCTTGGGACATTTGATACTGCTCAAGAAGCAGCTCTTGCCTATGATAGGGCTGCCCTTTCCATGAAGGGCACTCAAGCAAGAACCAACTTTACATATTCTGACACCACAAATTTCCATTCTCTTCTCTCTCCTTTTGATATGCAATCCCTCCGGCAGCCATCACAGTTCCTCACTAGCACTCAGATTACACAACCCTCTAATGACACCAATTCATATCAGCCTGAAATTCCACAAAGTAAAGTAAATATTCGCTATAACGGTAATACTTGTTTCCAATCCGATAATGAAACAAGTACTCAGTCTTCATATGATTCATCACCTAATGATAGTTTCTTTTTCTCCTCTGACACCAACTCTGGCTACTTGGGGTGCATAGTCCCTGAGAATTGCTTGCAACCTCCTAATACCACCAGCATGAACTCCCCAAAAAGCAATGCAGATACTATAAAGAATCAAAACCTTACCACAAGTTACAGTTGTCACCAAACTCAATCAAATTGTGATTGTAATGCACTTTCAGCTGATGCTATGAGTGTGGCAACAATGGCATCAAACCCTGCAAATTTGTCTTTCTTTGATCAACTTAATAATGGATTTTGGGGTGTTGAGCAGTCATGGAAGATGAATTCTTGGGAAGTCTCTGCCATGATCAACAACTCACTGATGCTGGAAGGTGGGTGCATGGGAACTTTGTATCCAGTCATGGACAATCCAGGTCACAAGTCAACGCCTCCTGTCACTTCTTCATCAACATGCTCCTCTATAATTTCTCCTTCTGGTGATGTAGGTGACTTGGGACATTCTCTCTTCTGAGTGCTGTTTTTTTTTTTTGTTTAATTCCATCAAGTTAGAATACATTTTTTTATTCGATGCACCTGTTGTTCTTGTTGGTTTTCTTGCTCGTATCCTTTTTGCTGTAGTACTTGGTCATTAAACGACACTCCCTACAACTGTGTTTGTGAGAGAGACAAATGGAATGTTCTGATTTACCAGAGGATGCAAATTTGAAGTTATTTTTAAACTCCCCCCCAAGTCCCCTTTCCTTTTTTTCTTTTTATCTCTCTCCCCCTGGATCCACCATTTAGCTGGTCACAAAGCTGTTGGCCTTGAACCCTATTCAACAATCTCAGTTTTAGTGCTCTAGGAAAACCATTCATCATAATTTCCCTTGCATTCTAAAGTTTCCCCATCCCTTATAATATTTGGATAAAACTACAACATGGTTATATCCCAAATTTGATAATGATATATGATGTATTGTGACCCAAGTTTGGCACCACGGATTCACAAATATGAGGATATTTACAATGAATATTTGCATAATATATCAACATTAAGTAATTTGATAGTGAGTGGTTCAAGTATTTATACACAAAGCCAGTCTGCTTATGGTACCCAAACACCAAGTATGGTTTAAATTAAGCATCAACTCTTCTAAACGTTTAAACTGATACAGATTTTGCGTCATTTAATCAATGCACAAGAAGATACACAGACTCGCGTTATCTGTAATTTAATTAGACATACTTTAGCAACTCAAGAATGCGAGCAAGTAGAAAGCACGGATACGGATATGGGTATGACACGATACAGATACGACGATATAAAAAAATTCAAAAAATAGGATACTAGTATGATTGGGATACATCTATATATTTATAAATACATAAATATACATATGTATATATTACAATATTATTATAACACTATGGATATGAGGAATTAAGAAATAAACACCTGCTCAATGGTTTTAAATTTAAGATTCTATTTAATTCTGAAGACATCATCCTTCGAAAATCCTCAACTTTTACTTAATATTTAATTGCAATAGACTTCATTGGTTTTAACATGAATTATAAAAACTTATTATTCAAGCAAACTAAAATGTAAAGAATTGACAAATCTTATGATATATGTAATGCACGTCCCAATAAACATCTTGGAATGAAGAATCCTCAGCCATATGATTCACGGTTTCTAAACAACTCACCTCACTAAGTATAAGACAAATGTATTCATCGTAGAGATATGCATATCTGAGATGTATCTAACAAGTATCTAATAATGATAAATATTTTATTAATTATTCGATATATGCGGAAAGTATCCAATATGTATCCGCAAGTATATGACGAATATTAATATTCAACATATATCAGATACAGATACGTCACTCTGATCGAAGTATCCATGCTTCATAGGGGAGTAGAAATGCACATTGTGATGTTGAATAGAGTGATAGTCACACAACAAATCAGCAAACAGGAAGACTTGACGTGAGAGATGAAATGTATGTCAATATGCAATACCCAGTAAGCATCAAGGGGAGGCGAAGAGAACAGGCATATGCATTTAGCGTTGCAGTAGACTAATGCCCAAATACTGTACTACCACTAGCTAGCACTTAGCTTAGCAGGGTCCAGGAACAAGTATATAACCACAGTCAACACTCTATGTCCCAATATGAACAACATTCAAGCCAATTTGTATTTCACATCATTCCAGTATTGAGCACATCTGTCTAAAGAGCAATTATTGGACCAAGATCTACATATCATAAACAATTCAACTAAACATACCCACATAGATGTGTTTCCAAATATCCATGGCCTATGAAAGCAGTGATAATTAGAAGCAAAAACATCATTGTCATCGATACATGGATAAGGTAAAGAGAGAATTCATACAAATTGAAGGTCTGAGATCCATTCTTTTTCTGTATCTGGTAATAAATTCATCAGGAACCACTCGAGCAATATATATCTCACAAGATAAGGCAGCATGTGATGTCTTGCTCAGAGTCCCTAAAAATTTACCTCTTCCCTAAAAGGCTCCAGATGAAGACGGAATCAAGAAAACCTCCAAATTCATTTCCAATTCGAATTGGAAGGTTGTTCCCTGATTTAAGAGGAACTATAAGAGACAGGCACAAGCACACAGTCAATGTGGAAGGAAGAACATTGTGAGGCTGACCCTTTCTTTTTGTTATGAAAAATACAACATCAATAAACAAAAAACCCCAAAAATTGGAGATAGGGATTTGATTTTGCTTAATGAAAATGTTGTTTTTTTTCCTAGTTATTCGGAAGCTAGATGTACGGTATAAGAGGTTTGCTGGATTGTTTAAGGTTGGATATGGCTTATTCAATATGAACCGGCGGGCCATATGATGATTTACGGGAAGAAAGAGATGAGAAGAGCTACAGTGTGCTAGATCTGAATGTGGACAATGATGACCAAGATAGCAAGCCTCCTATTAGAGGACTTGCACAAAATTAAGATGTTGGGTACAACCGTACAAGAAAGCTGATCCGTAGGAAAATTGGGGCTGCCCAATTTTTTTGCTCAGGTTGATGAGCGAGTAACACCTCCAGGACCTGTTTTACTGCTGCCAGTCTGTTCGGACGGCTGGACACCAGAGTGAGAAGCAGCTCCGCTCTTTGAAAATATTGAACCAACTGAACCACTAGATGTGTTCATTGAAGAAGATATTCTGGTCGATAAGGCATCCCTGTTGGAACTGGAAATGAGTTCAGGCCTCAAGTCCGATGAGGAGAATGATGGAGCAAGAGTACCAATTGAAGATCCAACAGGGTAGGGAGCAACAGGCATATCAGCAAGAGAAGATGCAGATGGACTGTAACTCAGTGTTCCCATTGGGTGATCAAATTTGCATGAGGCCCCAAATTTGCATATTCCATTTTGTGCGTAGTGAGAGCAAACTGGTGCACCCTAATAAAAAATTTTAATAAATTAGATGAAGAATCATGTAACAAGGCAACCAACAATATACATCATCTAAGTACAGAATATGATGCCATCAGAGAGTTGTAGTAACAGCGCGATCATATCTTAATAGTTGAGGCACATTCAGCATATCAATATGCACAAAAAAGCAATCATACCTATAGAACGTTTAAAGTTATGGCAAGAGATACATGGATTCCTAATCACACAACCACCCTATAGGCATAAAATACAGTCAAGAAGCACATGGACTGTGAATGTAGTTCCCATCATTATTCCAAGTACTAGTTGAACAGACGAATTTATGAGACTTAACACCCCAACCCTAGATGCATTTCATATGCAATTTACATCTAGATTCCAGATGAAAATATGTAACCATAAAACAAATTCAATGAGCACGTCAACATGAATGAAAATAGAAAAGAAATTCCTCATGTCAAAGAGTTCCAATAGCTTGCTAACATCAGTATGATGCTGATCTCATTTGGTATGTTCACAAAATTCGATTTGACGTTGAAGACATGAATGTTTTTTTAAGTATAATAGGTCATCGAGTTTTTCTTGCCCAAGGTCAAATATATGTGAAGAAAATATCTAAGATGTGAGGTTACAAGGATGATCAAGCAGATATATAATCTGACAATGAATTTTGAGATGAATATATATTTGAGGCCATCCAAAGGAGGGCAAGATCCCAACCCTAAAATAAAGACAATATGTGAAATGAATCCCAAACAAGTAATGAGAAATGGGAGGTCCTAAAATGGTGAGCCTGGCATGTCAAGGGGTTCAGGTGGAAGTAGTGGAGGGAAAAAAAACCCAAGGAAAAGATTAAAGAACTTAATATCAATGAAATTTAAATCCAAAATTTCAGACAATGTCCTGCTTAAACATCTTCAACTATACAAGTACCACTCCTATCTTACCACATCAGAACAATGGACAAATGGGGCCACCACCTGGCAGAACTTACTAAAGTATTGCAATCCAACAACACGTCAACACCAAAAACTGGGTCTGCCTTGATGTAGCCTTCAAGCTAATAGTCAAGAAAGTTGAGTAAAAACTACAAATGCCTTCTTGGTACATCATCAAAGTTTAAAGAAGAAATAAAACTCCCACCTCGATAAAGGAGGATGGATGATTCATTGTGGTATTGCTCATCATCAATATGTCAAGATTAACACAAGTAATAATCATCAAAAATAGATTAACCATGAGTGTCTAACCCTCACATCCTTAATTTTGAGTAAACCAGTGAAATAATATTTGTTTATCATGTATTTCTGATCATTTCAACGTGGAATCAGTTAGTCAATGAGAAAATAGAACAGAAAGAAACTGCATGGTTGAAAAAATGAGAAAAAATGCAAGTAAAGCATTCAGATCATCTGACACAGCCTGTTCCAAAAAGAAAGAAGACACCCTCTACAGTGTTAACTTTGATCAATCAAAGAAAAGTAAGAGGAAGAAAGAAGAGAATATTATTGAGGCACAATTAGCCAGAACAAATCTTAAAGGAAAATTACATATAAGAGGTCTTTATATAGTAAACTAAACTAGGGCAACATAAAAGAAAGCAAACGATTAAACTACCTCTAAGTCTAAATATAATAACTATTCTAACACCCTCCCTCAAACTCATGATGTGGTAACATTAAAAATCAAGAGTTTGCTAAGAAGAAAATAGAAGCGTGCGATGGTGTGAGATTTCGTAAAGAAACGATCAACAAGTAGCCAATACAATCAAACTATCTCTGCTGTTATGAAGGCCATAGCATGATACTCAGCTTCAGCAGATGATCGAGCCACAACAGTTTATTTTTTACTTTTTCATGAAATAAGACAATCACCAATGAAGAGAGAGAAACCAGTAGTGGGCTTGCGATCCATAGAGTCACCAGCCCAGTCCGCATCAGAGTAAGCACAAAGTTTCAGAGACGATCAAATAGTAATGAGAGGTCCAACAGAAAACCAAAGCTCAACAAAAACCACTAGCAACAATGCTCAACAAAACAAATCCCAACAAAAAAAAAAAAAAACAAACCAGAACTAGTCCCAAACCAGCAGTAGTCAAAATCAGAAATTAGAACCAAAAGAAGTAGCCAACACCAAACAATCCAAAATTTACCACAAATCAACTTAACAACTTTGCAAATCAAATACTCACCCAGCAGTTAGTTTACAAAATCAGCCCCAAAGGCTCAAACCCACCAATCAAAAATGGAAACAAAAGTTTTCTAGTTATTCAGTGCGAAACAATGTAAATGGAAACAAAAGTTTCCTGTTTATTCAATGCGAAACAATGCAAATGAAAACAAAAGTTTTTTGCTTATTCAGTGCGAAACAATGCAACGCTATGTCAAATAGCAAGTCCAAATGAATAAATCAAAAACCAGCATCGTGACAACTCACCAATGCGCAAAACTAACCAATCAACAAACCAGTGCAAAAACCCAAAGCAATAGCAGCAAACGAAGAAGAAATAACCAGATTAGCAATCAGAAGAAGAAGAAGCACCAACAGAAGAGAAGAGGCAGCAACAAGTCAACAAAAATAGCAATCTAAACAGCAGATCCCAACGTACCAACTTCACAAACTAGAAACTAACGAAGAAGCAGATCCTGAATAGGCTTTAATACAAGCATCTCGAGCCAATAAATCAAACTAACAATTCAGCAACTAGACAACCCAAATTCCATAACTTTCAAAAGTCTAGAAGACAAACAGAGGCGGCAAAACAGTAGCAAAATATCAAAAAGGCACTAAAAATCAAAATCCGGCAGCATAAACAGTAACGTCGGTACCGTTCGTGTTTTCGGCACTGTTTACAGCTCTTGAAATCACAAAAAAAATAGCAATCCACCAATCACTAGCCCTTAAATCACACAACCCAAGAATATATTTTTCCTCCAACTAAATTACTGTGGTGCTACAATATATATTTTGGATCGAAACCATGCTCTGATACTATGTTAACTTTGATCAATCAAAGAAAAATAAGAGGAAGAAAGAAGAGAATATTATTGAGGCACAATTAGCCAGAACAAAACTTAAAGGCATATAAGAGGTCTTTATATAATAAACTAAACTAGGGCAACATAAAAGAAAATAAATGACTAAACTACCCCTAAGTCTAAATATAATAACTATTCTAACATACAGAACATCCAAACATAACTATTGTACTATAATTTGCTAAGCAAGGACAACTTCCTATTGTCTTCATTGCATGCAACATTATTAAGGAACAACACCTTTAATAGGCTGATTAGGTGCACACTAAACAAGAAAAAACTTATAAAATGCATAACAGGTAAACAAGTAATATTTTAACACAGTTATAATGTAATGCATAATAAGGAGACTGCTGTCTAATAATCTAATTGCTCAGTTTACCTGAACACAAAACCTAAAACCAAACCATGTTTCCGTTCCTACATTCCTGAACCAAAGGTGAAATAACAATGCCTAGGACCAAGTCAAATCAACCGAGGCGAAGTTGGGGTAATTCAGATTTCAAGTTGCATTGTGGTAAATCGCACATGGTGAATCAAAGACTTCAAGTAGGACCAAAAGACAAAGAATAATAAGATATATAGACTGATGGCAGGATTTAAATAATCTATTTTGCAGTTCACCAAGTTCTCAAACTTCCTTACAAAGGCCCATATTATCCCTACAAACACACTGATATCATTTACTCAAACTCCTTGAAGGAGAGTGCCGACAGATAAAATTATAGACTATTAAATAGTTCCATAGATTTTCACTTGCTGTTGCCTTTAAACAGTCAAAAGGACACAAAGGATTTTGATCAACTCAACTCGATAAACGCTATGCCCCAACTATTTGTGGTGCACATTTTCATGGAGGGAAGGTGGTGATTGTGATCAATTCACTACTAGACGGAAGAACAGAAGTTACAGGACACAAGGTTGAGCAAGGATTGAAGAGGAGAGGTCAGGGGTACATTGTGTACTTTTACTAAAGGATTTCCTGGGAAAAAGGGGCTACATCTTCAGCCAGTTTCACATAAAATATCAGTCAAAGAGGGTTCTCTGTGCTCCTTATTATTGATGGGACATATACGTGGTCATGCCTCTTTAAAGATGGAAAGCATGGACATTCCAGCATTTTGAGATAACCAAAGGTTACAGTCCACCTTTACTGGGGATGTGACGTTTTGGACTGGTTAAAATGAGAAGTCTCAACTGAATCTACCTGTTGGAGAGCTAGTGATAAAAATTTAAAAGCTTGTGGGCATGTTGAAACAATGGAGTGTTCAGATAAATCTACCTGTGGGAAACCTAGCACCAGAGACTTATAATCCTTCTCATGGAAGGAATTCAAGGGTCCTTGGGTGGTTGAACAATTCGTGTTGATGCATGGATTGGAGAGATAATTTAAGCTCCCGAAAAGAAAGAGCCCTTGCTCTCCTTTACCACTTGCATCTAGAAGAATTGAAAAAGAACGATCCCCAAGAGCGCTCAGGCCTCCATTACAAAGATTTTTAAGGTCAATGTTTGTCTGAGTTCTTGATCAACAGGGCACTCTTTTCAAATATTATAGCTGCGGTGTTCTAGGTTGATTTTTTCATCTAGTGACTTTGTGAACCACGTGTGTGCATGGAGCTGCCCAATCCAATGGATTCATCAAAGTGGAGTTTGTTACCTGTTAAAAGACCTATCTTTGCTGTTCAGATTCAGAACTATAAATCGCAAGCCTAGTTCTATTATTGATGCTGAGGGAGAGATCTTACATCACAGGTTCCTCCACTGCTAATCATGGTTGTTTGTCTAACTAACAGGTGGTTCACTAATAAGGTCTTATGTGGCAGGTTGCCCCACTTCTAATGAAAGTGGCTTATCCAACTAACCAGCAATTTGGTACTGAGTTCTCTTTTTCTTTTATACTGTCCAGCACTCTTGCTCCACTGTCAAAGAATTGCATCATAAAATCTGGATATCCTTGTGTGTCATCCATTTTTCTATTTTATTTCGCATGACTTTTTGCTAAAAATTTTCAAACTCAAGACCACTTTGACCTAAACTATGTGGAATGACCTCTGATGGAATTTGCAAATCCATATTAGAAATTGGACAGTGATGAGCAATTTTCTGCAAATCTATCAACCCATTCAAGCCCCTACAACTATCTAAAATTTGATATTTACAGCAACTCTTATTGTGCAGAAGGTAACTCCAGCTTCCCATGCTTTATCTGCATTAATTTTCTATTGCCTCAACCTAAGACCTGGACCGACTATAACCAATCTGTGGCACCTGTCACCATCAAAAGCTTTGACCTTAAATCGACATTTATCATACATATCTCTCTCAACCACTGATTCAATACTCTTTGGGGGTGAATCCCAGAAAACCCTCATATTAATACTCTTTGCAACCAAAATCCATCCAGTTTTCTTCATCCCCCAGAGCAGGTTCAGCAACCTTGCCAAAACTACATCACTGATTTCACCTTCCCATAGTTCAATCTTTACTAGACACTGTTGCAAGGAGGAAATTTTCAATTCAAAACGGTGTACGATGAGATGCTTACCGGACGGCGAGGAAGACCCATGGGTCTAAGAACAAAACTTGTTGGTGGTGCACTCCATTCTGGTGGATGATGATATCTACATGAAGACCCAAATTTACAACCACCCGTTCTCATGTAATATTGGCATTCAGGTTGGCCAGGTCTCTCAGGAAATGTGTGCTCCATCTGACTACTGCCTGAAGGACCAGGAGTAGAAGGTATGGATACATAAGTCCCAGAATAGCCGGTTGCAGAAGGAGATAAGTGTGTTATCCCATATATCTGACCTGCTCCAACAGTGGGTTGAGGACTAGGAGAGGCTAATGGGCTTACAGGTGCCTGCACCATGTGGGTTAACAAATCAGTAGAAATTGTATGCAGTGCAAGAAAATTTCTACAACAAGCGAGGAGACTTTATAAGATTTACCGGGTAAGGACTCCAACCCGGAATGGACATCATCCCTGGGGAAAGCAGCACGGGACTATAAGTCCCGGGAAAATAAGAACCTGGAAGCAGAGGATGCCTTGCAACAGGCCAGTTGCCAGACACTGATCCATGTGGTTGAGAAGATTGAACAGAATGAGACTGCACCGTAGGATACATTGCAGGCGCAGCCACAGCTGATGGTGCTGTCACTTGAACACCAGCTGGTTGTGGATGATGGAATTTACAGGTTGTACCAAACTTGCACTGCCCCGTTTTCACATAGTGCGAACACTCTTTTTCACCCTGTGACAAGAACTTTGAGCCAACTTCACGTACTTCAAGAAAAAAGATCAAATTTTAACTTATTTTAAGTTAGAATACAAGTTAATAAAGTGCAAACCGATCGCATTGGATATCCAGCAATATTTACTGTCACTGGGCTCCCACCTCGTTGTCTTGGATGATGATACTTGCAGGAAACACCAAATTTACACATCCCCGTTCTCATATAGTACTACAGATTGAGTAAGAACACCATGATCAATATGAAAAGATATAATTAATATAAAATAAAAAAACTATGCATGACCAGTGTATAGCCTAAAGTAAGACAAACACAAAATCACACTTGACAAAATTGGAGCTCACTCGTGTAAGAAATTGACAATGTATATGAAAAGACATAATTAATATAAAATAAGCATACTATGCATGACCAGTGTATAGCCTGAAGTAAGACAAACACAAAATCACACTTGACAAAATTGGAGCTCACTCGTGTAAGAAATTGACAATGTACATATAAACTGGGTATAACATATTTTAGCAGATGCACAATTCCCAGCAGGAATTACTTGGAAAAAAAGCTGTCAAACATTTGTAACCAACAGGTGACCTCTTAATATAATACTACAATGGAGTTGAATCAGCATAATATGCACAAGAGGGTATATTTGATACATTTGGACCTTACAATTATTGTATAATGTAGAACCAACAGCAAGAAAAAGATGAATTTTATTAGCAACAGACTTATAGCTCACTCTTTCTTTTGAATAAACAGGGTACATATAAATCAGCACATCGTATACTAAAATGATTACGCACTTTCCAATATCAAGCATTTGAAATTTTGTCAAATGTCGGAATTCATAATTCACCACATTTACACATTCCACTTTCGTATGAAACTATGAATTAATAAAGAACAGAAATTCCAATGTGAAAATTATCCATAATCAACAGATGAACTCAATATAGTGCTACAAATTGAGTAGAGGCAGCATAATCCATAAGAATGTAATTTACTATTTCTCTATCATGCAGATCAAAAGAAAATGATGAAGCCATAAACCCCCATATAGGAGCTCACCCTTGAGTAGATAACGAAGAAAAGAATAATAAAACTGTAAAATTTGGCTAATCTATATGGTTCATTATCAAGGATTTGGGAAATCTTCTTACAGACCAACGAATGGATTAAATAGAACTACAAACCGAGAAAGACCACTACAATCAACACCGATGGGCTCATTCAATCCAAAAGGAACTTACTATTTTTATCTGCTGTAGAACCAATAAAGAAGAAAGAAGATAAAATCATGAATAACAAGATAGGAGCTCAATCTTCTAGAACACCCAATGAACAGACCAATCATAACATTACAGAATTTAGCAAATGCACGTTTTCCAGTATTCAGCATTTGACAGCTGAGCTAATCCAAGTTTCAGAACCAATCAAAACATTTAAATTAGTAACTAAAGCATGCGTAACACAAAAGGACATAATAAATACAATACTAGTTTGCTATTTTTGTAGATGCAGATCAAAAAGAAAGCTACAGACAGATCCACAATTAACCAAATAGGAGCGCTCACTCTAGCTAATCAATAGATGAAACATAGCATGGTTGAATGCTGCAAATACACATCTTTTAATGCCAATCATTCAGCTACCATTACAAGCTTGATATTCAATAAGAAGAATACAATAAGCTTGATATTCAATTAGAACTATACAAAGAAAGTACCTGGCAAATAGGTTGGCCCACCCGCTCCGGGTACTCCCCTCCAGTAACCCTCATAGATGCCACAGCCTGACATTTTTTTCATCAATCAAATTTTACCAATGCATGTCAAAGTTTCAATCTTTGCTTTCAGTTAGCATAGTTTTACACAGAATCATAGTCTTACAAGGTTCAGCAACCATTTATTACTATAAACTTAAGAAAAATAAATCAAATTTAAAGCCTCAAATTATAGGAAATCAGCATCACATCTAAGGACAAACCCACTTCAATTTGAATACGTCACAAGATCAAACTGGTGTATACCCTCCCTACTTAATGATCATACATAATTACATCACACAATCATCAAAATGAACCCTAACATATACCAAATCGAGCAGAAAAATAAAGAAATTTGATGAAATTACCGCGCTACGGTCCCGGGGATGATTGAAACGACACCTTGCACCATACCCACAAAACCCAGTTCTCAAATAATAGATACAATCGGCCTCGTCAGGCCTTTCCGGGTACGATTCAGCTCCAGTACTCAATCCCAACTGCCACGTAGACTCTGCATTTGCAAAATCAACATCCAAAAAGACTCCACATTACAACATATAAGTGAAATTCAAACTAATCTAAACTAAATTTCAATGAAATTCAAATGTAGTGTCACAGGACTACTTGCCTTCGAGCCCCGTTTCACCCACCGGTGAGCTCCATTCCGCCACCGGATCGGCCTGTGTCCGTCCATACCTCGCCATTAATATAATTGCCTTTACACAATATATACGTATAAAATCTATATATGTATACACAGATAAATATATAGTTACAGAGAGGAACAGAAAGTGATAGTGTAGCGAGTAACAGCTGTTGATCGATGGGGATGGTGGGTTAGAGATAGAAAGGAAGAGTTTTTTTCCTTGGGTGTGTTTGTTTCTCTCTCTATATCACTGTGGGTGCATATATGAATTGGGTCCGGTCTTTTTGGCTTCTCTCTCTCTCTCTCTCTCTCTCTCTAAAGAGTAAGTGCGGTTTCTTTCTTGGTCAGTCTTCAAAGAGAGAATGTTGTGGGTGGTGGGAAGGGGGTGGGGAGGGTTGATCTTTCTGGGCATTGAGGGCAAGTTGTCGTCTGTTTGCTGTTGGTTGGTTTATATACGCGCCAAATATAAGACTGATTTACCTAAAACATAACAGCAGAAACTGGTTTGTTAATTGATAAAACTTCCCCTGTATTTTCAACATGTGATGACTAACACTCTTAGATGAACTTTAGGATATGGTTATTTATCATTTTATCTCTCGCAAGATTTGGTTATAGATGAAATTATGGCTAGGGGTGAAAAATGATGTGAATTATTCGGGTCCGGCTCATTTTGAACTCTACTCGAGTTCGTTAATTCTTTTAGAAAGTAAACTAAACTCGAACAATTTTTTAATTTCAATTAAGAAATGAGCCCTATAAACTCGATCGAACTTACAAAATTCAGCTCATTTACATGTAAAATAATTTAACTATTCTGATTTGGCTCGAGCTCTTTTTTAAAAAATTTAGTTTGATCACTTTTTTAGGCATCATGCTTAATTTTGAACTCGTTTGTTTAGCTTGTTTACCACCGTTAATTATGAATTTTTTATGAGTCATGGAAGAGAGAGAAAATGTTTGAATATGTGTTACCTGAGTCTTCACGTGTTAATATACAATACTGAGATAAATGTATGATTTAAACACACACAAATTTAAAAAATATATTTATATATGCTAGTTATTATCTGTGTCTAAATGTATAAAATAATAAAAAATAGTAAATAATAAATCACAAACATAAAGAAAATATAATGAATTTAAGTATTAATTGTAGTGATAGTAAGAGGTAGTGGGTGACAGTGGTGGGGGTAGGAGACGGTGGTGGTGGTGCCGATGGCAATGGCAATAGCAGCAGCGACAATAGTGGGGGGAGGGCAATGACAGTTGTGGTTGTAATGGTAACTAAGTGGTGGTGGTGGTGGCGGTGACGACGACTGGAGGGGTGGTGGTGGCTGGGGTGGGGTGGGGGCGGGGGCGGCGACGATGGTGGTGGCGGGGGTAGGGGCAGTGGCGATGACGGTAGTGGTAGTGGTAGAGGTATTGGTGGTGCGGTTTTAAACACTGTTTTTTTTTAAGTACTTATGAGAAATAATTTGTTGAAATACTTTTAAAAAGTAATCTCAAACACACCTTTAGGAACTTATTTTTCTTTTAAATTTTGGGTGTAATTAACTGTTAGATTAATTTTAAAATAAAATTTAAAGCGATTTGAACTGCGAAAAATAAAAATTATTTTGTTTATCTTTTACATTTGAATTGTAAGTTACTTTATTATATAGATATATATCATGTTATTATATGTATGGGTGTGTATGTGGCTTTGGACTATTCGGGGATATTTGATTTATTTGGTAAAAAAGGCTACAAAGAGAGTGTCATTCTTTTTTATGTTTTAAAGTTATTTGATTTCTTCATAGGATGGTCATGCCATGATCTTCTATGAAAACCCTTTTAGATGTATTGAGATAGAAATTAAGTTAATTTCTTGCGATGGTATACAAAGAGTGTCTTTGTTATTTATGGAAATGAGTACAAGGAAAGTGGCCTTACGTGGTTTTGAATAGCTTTTCCTATGTTAGGATTATTAATAATTCTTTTAACTAGTTGGTCTCATTTACACAAAGATAATGTGTGATTCCAACTAAATTTGACAACACAACAATCAAATAACTTTAAATTGAAACTTGGTTAATCATCAGGGGTGGTCCAGTGCTCAAACTTGTCATATTGCAAGTAAGAGATATAAAGTTCGATACTTTCTACACTCCCTAAGTGTCAATCACCCTTATTCTTTAGGGGACATGTTGTTAAAATAGCTCAAAAATTACGGTGGTCAACTCAAAATTCGAGGGAGTAATTGACACTAAAAATGCCTTACTCATAACTTAAAATTTAGAAAAATGTTATTTAGACTTAAAAATTTGACATAATTTGCTGACATAATAACGTGACTTTATTAAAATTATTAGATTAACATCAAATTCCAATGTTTGATGGAGCCTACAATCAATCTAAAAGTCTTAGTGAATTAGGTCAACAAATTATGTCTCCCAATAACATTGCTCTAAAACTTATTACAACTTTTTACTGTTCTTAACCATATTTTATTTCAATTCATGGGATAATTTTTTTTAACTGAAATTCATAGAATAAATTATATTTGGCATCTCTAAAATTGACTCCTATTCACCCTTCTCCTCGGTCAATATTTTTATATTATCTCCTCAACTATGTTAATTGATCTAAAATATATCAAGTCCATTGAGGGTTGTATTTTATAGAAATAGATAACAAATTTTCATGTTATACACGAGGCTATAAATGAGTTGAGTAGTGCCGAATAGTATTGACTTGGTTTAAAATTAAATGAGTTATAAAAATGAGACCAAATTGGGTTGTTGATGATGTAATATTAAAAAATTAGTTATAAAAATGTACAAAGTAAAAAAAATAAAAATAAAAAACACAATACTTGGGAACACTCTGTTTATCCTTATTATGTAATGTAATATTGTACAGAGACAACAAACGATGCAAAAGCGCGTAGTGGACGGCCATGCATATCGGTTGGAAAAATGGAACAGGAGAAAAAGTTATGGGTGTTTAAGTATAACACCACTTTAAAACACGAAGACGGTATTAAATTAAAGTTATTGAATATTCATTAAATCATTCGTTTCGTAAATGAGTGTACCCGACATAATATAATTAATAAATGAATTGAGTCTGAGTAAAGTTAATAAAAATATATATCTATGATAAGACTTATTTATATACCAATTATATAATATACGAACCCGATATAACACGATTTGTAAGACATGAATTAATAAATGAATTTAGTATGTAATGGGACTCCAGTGCGACTCTTCGGCCCCGGGGTTGACACCTGGAACAATGAAGCCGTTGGGAAGTCCAAGGGACGTCGAGGAGATATGGTGACACGGAGCGGTCGAGTACGATAGCTGACATCGTATTTAATGCGATGTGACCTCGCATTTATGGCGGAATGGGTGATAGTGACAGGACAAATAAATGCGCGCTTACAAGTGACTGTCCTCTGGGAGCCTAAGCTTACTGTCATGATGGTTAAGCAATAATGGTGACACGCCGAGATGACGCATCAGCTCTCCCAAGGCACTGTTCCGCCGAATATTCAATGTTCAGTTGGTGTCAGATGTCGACCTGGTAGATTTGGTCATTCGGGGGAGTGGCATAATTGCTCGGCGGATGACCGAACTTTTACCCCATTTTCCTAGCATTCAATAGGAGGAGATGTGAATAGGAAGCACTCATTGCACGAGGGATGATGTGTCAAATATGAAGATGTCCAGATGTGACTGAAGATCTTTGGCAATCATTGTTAATTCAGGTATAAATATTCCTCAAAAAAATTGACAAAGGTATGCAAACTCAAACCAGAAAAAGTCCATTAAGCAAAACCCTTCGATCTTTTACTGACTTAAGCTTCGGAGGGGATTAGCCGGGCACACGCTGACCCCCTTTTTTCTGACCCTGTTGTTTCAGGTTCGCCAGTTAGGAGATCACCGCCTCACACGATTGCAGGAATCATCCCGTGCAATTTGGCGCCATCTGTGGGAACGAAAGCATTTTTTTTGGTAGCGATCCTTTGATGGTGAACACTCGATCTCAGGGTGAGGGAACAGGTGTACGAGCTAGGAACGCAGAGCCCGCCCGACTTCTAATGGTTCTGGAGCCGGGCTCATTGGACCAATCAGATGAGGTGAGAAATTCTTCGCAAAGAACGCTCCTTATGGATTAGGGCCTTGGGGGACGTGACCTCATAGCCTGTGACATCGTAGAGATGGTGGAAAAGCGAATGGGCAAACGCATTAAGTAGCTCAAAAGGGAAAACGCAAAAGTTCAGCAACGTCTTAACGATTTCGAGCAGTCAGCAAGCGCGGATGAGCGTAGTCGGGGGATCAAGGACCAGGTGCCCAGCCAAAACCTATCCAGGCCCGCCTGGCGATGGCCCTCCAGGAAGGATTGGATAAGGCACTCGCCCGAGGGACTTGACCACCAAAGAGGGTTCTCGACCTCCAAGGGAAGGTTAGAATCGGGCTAGAAGACAAGCCTGTCTAGGTGGGACCCACGCCAAGAGATACCTGAGGGCGTCGGAGCTGCCGAATCTCAAGCGGAGTCCATACCCCAAGGGCTTCGAGGGGAGAGATCAACCGAGGATCCCCAGGTCCGCTTCATTGCCCAACGTAACCATCAACCCCCGGTCTACTCCGATGAAGTTATCTCGCCATTCATCTGGACTATTAGGGAGGCTGTGATGCCGAAGAAGTTTATCGTCCCACGGTTCAAGGTTTATGATGGGAAAATCGACCCCGAGAGCCACCTTCAGCAGTACAGGCAATTGCTGTCAATCTATAATACTGATCAAAAGGTGTTGTGCCGAGTTTTTTCCATGAGCCTAGGGGACACCGGCATGAGGTGGTATGAGAATCTTGCTCTCGAGAGCATTGGGTCCTAGAGACAACTGACAGAGCTCTTCCTAGCTCGATTCATCACCAGCAGTAAGAAATCAAAGGACATCCGCGCTCTGTTGACGCTCAGGCGAAAAGGGGGAGAGACACTCCGACAATATGTCGTCCGATATTGGAATGAGGTGAATGAGGTGAAAGCATGTTCGAAGGCTTTGGTCGCGGCGTCATTGAGGCTGGGGCTGTCCCAAGACACTGATTTGTACAAATTGCTGACCAAAAAGGCCCCGACCGACATGAACGACTTAATGGCTTAGATTAACAAATATGCCTGGGTGGAAGAAGGGTCCGTCGCGCTTGAAAACAGGGCCACGATTCTGAG